GTACCAATATTCCAGGGAACATGACCAACCAAAGAATGTTCTGGCCTCCAAAGAAAGCAGTCAAAGATCACTGGATGATGGAGAATCGTTTGGTAAATGTTGTCCACATTTGAAAATCCTTGGCATCTTGGTTCGCAGGAATTTTGTGGAGAGTCAAAACTTTGTAAAGAAAAAAGCATTTCTCCCTGGTTGTGTGTCTCGTGCGAGGCATTTGCCTTGCTTTCTGACATCTTATCTTGAAGTGACGCTAACCGTTGCAACAGACACTGAAGAAGCTCAAAGCACAATTGCATTGCAGAACGAAGCATGCAGTTTTCAGGTGAAGTACGAATCACGACAAGTTTTGCTTTAAGCGAACGCAGATACAAGAGGACGTGGCAGCAAAGTGGAATGGTCTTGACTAAAGGCTCCTTTTCTAAGGCCTTCACCAAGAGGCTCTGGATCCATGAATTGTCTAGAAGGCTGGAAGTTTCATTCTCAAAGGATGACAAATCTGTTGTTGAAGTCTTCCATTGATTTACAGTTTTCTTTACACCTTGTATAGCCTCTCCGAGCACTTGCCAAACAAGGACACCAAACGGAAGGGCTTGCAATAAAGGGGCAATGTCTTCTGTAGCACTAGAACCTTTAGAATACAAGCAGACATGTGACAAAGGTGACACGAGAAAAGAGAATTAACGTATTTTGACACTCGAGTGTTGAATTGACGATGTAGTGTGATCGTATCAGTGTGGATGCTACTGAAAATGGCCTTCGTTGGTGACAGTGACTACTGAAAATCATTAAGCATTAAAGTCAGGTTTTTAGAAACGTCACACACTCGACACCAAAGACAATCCTCTTCAACACAATCATTTCTCGGACAACAAATACAACATACACTACTTGAATAACTGTTGCTGTGAAAACTTTCATAAAAACGTGAAAGAGCCATTTTGAAATTTTTGCAGGGATTCTCGTGTATTTCTTTCAAACAAAATTACCATCGAAAAGAGAAAATCTCCTCATACAGTTATTGGTTGATAAATGCAAACAAAAGCAATGAGGTTCAAGTACTGTTATCTTCAACAGGAAAGAATGAACGTAGAGCAGACGAAAGGAAAGATTTGAAATCGAAAGAAAACACTCGGTGGAGGGTCTACTGATATTTTTCAAGATTTTTTTTTGCAGTCCATTCTAATCTCTCCTATCCTTAACTACATTCTTGTTCCTGTTTGTCTGGTTTTGTTTTGAATTAATCTTGGAAACTTTTTATTTTGAAGTTCCTTTCCATCTGAGATTCATTTTAGAATAGAAATGCCCACCATGCATTTGCTCACCTGTAATTCTGTAGTTTGTGACTTGCAGAACTTTAATAAGGGGAGAAAACTGTCCACTAAGCTGGTTCTTACAGAAGTCAACACAGTCAGTAATGACTGTACCCAGCTGTTCTTCATCCAAGAGCTCAAGATGACGGTTCAATTCAGCCGACACTGTCGCTTTTTCTGCAAATGAAACGAAATCAAATGTTCATGTTATTTTGAGTCTTTGCACATGATCTTCTTCTACTCGGCTGGCTCTGTATCCCACCTCACTACTCTTTCCGTTAGGAAATTGTAATTGAAAAATAATCACACCATTAATTGCAGATGTGAAAAATAAACCTTCAAATGTATCATGATGCTTTTAAATGTCAGAGATAAATCGCTCATCATTGTTGTTACTTCCACAATGACGACTCATACATCTCATATTTATTTCTGAGGCTACTGCATGCCGACAGAACTCACCTGTGGGCATATTGAAACACCTCAGACCTACCACATATTAACATTTAACCCCGGAAGTGACCAATGCGTGATTTCTCCTTACAATGTCAATACATTTTCAACCAGAATGGTGACAAGAAAAAAAAAAAAAAGCTACGGGGGTAACTCTTTGCTTTTGTTTCTCCGCGCTACAGAAACAAAAATTTGAATCTGAAACAGAGAGGAGAATCTATATTTAGATCTTCGAAGTGAACGGATTAATCCCACATAGACCGCGAAAAAGGCGTCATTTTTGTGTTTTCAGGCGGGAACACAAGGCGTGCGCCCCTTAGGCCTTTGCTTGTCTTGGCTTGCCTCCACCTGCAAGAACTAACGCAGACGACGGCTGTCAAAGGCTGCAGGCTAATCCCGCTGGGCATCATCACCTCTAAGTATCATCTACTGTATAAGTTGGCAAATAGAACCATACACAATCAACGCGGGGGGGGGGGGGTTGGTTAACTCTCAGAGCTTTCCTACCTGATAAAGTGTCACTTTTATAAGAATAATTCCTGTATTGATTACTCAAGAAAGTTAAAGAGCTAAAGGGTTTTTCTTACCTTGCTCGTTTTGCACCATTGTTCTGCTCAAGAAGCTTTGTAGCTGCTTTAAACTGTTGTTGCTGGTCTTTGACGGTACCTAGCGGATATGAAATTATTTGAAATGGAGAAATGAAAATCATTCACATGCATTAAGAAGATATTGACACATCCACAGAAGATGTGGTTTTGATTTCATACATCAACATCTTAAGCCTCCTTTATGATAGTTAGTATAATTAAAAAAGGACTAGGTACACATAATACTGCATCTATGAGTAGAATAAGTGGAACACAATGCTCCTTTGCAACTAAAATGTAACTTCTTTTCATAAAATGAGAATACAAGAATTTTAAGTTCTCATGGTCAGGTCCTTGCATAATAATCTGCCTTATGTTTGAAGGAAGGAAGATTCCAGACCATACAAAGCCCAGAACTCTTCCCACCCTTACTGCGGCCTATTTCAGTTAGTGCTAAATGTTTTCTACCTATTGCCACTATGTTTGATGTCAAGGTCACCTCTTTTATTTTGATAAAAATACTCTGTTTTCTTATCACAGTTTCAGTTTTTTTTTCAGTGACATCTCATTCAGTAACAAAGGACACAGTGCAAAGGAACTCATATCAGCAATACCTTTAGATATTCAATCTTGTCCTGTAGTTGAGTGAAGCTGGGCATCCAGTAACTTAGATAATGCAGCAAAGCTTTATGTGCACTCCTTACTGTAGCCATATGTTGTGATACTTCAGTGTTGCTCACATAATGGCACACCACAAAGCACAAAATGGTTGGATTCATTGCACTGTGAATCATATCTGAGATGACACAATTCATGTACTTTGCTATACAACCTGAGGAAAAAGAGAGGGACATTTAAGAAGAGAAATATTAAAGCAGCAGCAGAAATAGACCTGTTACAATTTCATATAAAATAATCAGGTAAAAAAGCTAAAAAAGAAGTGAGCATTTGGGACTAAAATCTAGCATCAAGAGGTACTGGTTCAATCCCTGTCCAAACCCAAATAATTATTTAAACATATTTCTTACTGTTGAATGAATTACTTACAGTTAAACTGTGAAGATCAATTAGTACCTTGTTATCATATCTAGAGGTCAAAATTATGATTTTTTTCATATTAATTAACTTAATTTTTATGACTGTTCATACTAGGACCTACCTAAAGGGAGCACCTCTGCTTTTTCACCTGGTTCAGTGGCATTTGAGATCATCTCACAATATCGCTTCAAAGCTCCAACAAGTAAAACACTTACAGGAAGACTGAAAGAAAATGAGTTTGAATTACTGAGAAACTCAGAAAACCATAACAACCAGAAATATTCCTGGAAGGTGATTCTGTTGATGGAAATAAGCCAATCAGGGTTGAGAAATCTTAACAGCATACAGAGGTCCTAATAACAGGTGCAGTTTAAGGTTTTGTGGTTTACTGATGTGTATATAAATTCATGCTATATGTATCTTTAATCATTTTGATTTTCCATTCCTTGCTTTTGGCCCCAATCAAAAGGACAGAAGGCTGATAGAGCCAAGATATTAACAATCTCTTCAGGTGCATCCCCCTACTTTTAAATGGTATTCATATTGATCACACACCTCCTTCTAAGCCAAGCTACATGTGAGAAATAGGATGATCTCGGAAACATTTAATGTGGTTCATTTTTCTTTTTATCCATGGTTCACATTTAAATTTCCTGGTTCATTTCAAAGTTATTATAATCATGCAATCCATAGCAAATGCTACATATGTAACTTGCAAAAAAACAACAAAACCAAACAGACCTCAATAAGAGCCAATGAATAAACTGTTTGAATATAATTTTAAATTGTTTTTATCAAGGAAACTTAGGTCAAACCTTGTATTGGAAGACTGGGTCCAATCTGTTGGGTCCAAACCAAACTGCAGAGCACTAGCTTCATGTGAAACTGCTTCAGCTTGCAGGTCGATCACAATGTCTGTGTACAGGTATGGCTCAGAGGCTACAGCCATAAAGACTTCATCCAAAAACCTAAGAAGTGTCTTCGTGTGTTCTTCAAACTGACTGTGACACAGATGACTCAACCACATTTCTACCTCATTTGCATGTGGAAGGCTGTTCAGTAGTCCTGTTTCACTAAGGAGCTTCAAGAAAGGCAAAAACACTGTTAATCGTAACCATTACAATTTCCTCAAACATGATTGGTGCATTAGCTGATTTATTTTTCATTAGTCATTCTGTACAGTTGTAATCAGACCGTTGGCTGTAATCAGACACCTGCAATCGAACAGTTGAAGCAGCAAATCATACTACATGTAAGTCCATTCAGCCAAATCCATTAATTACAGAATTGATCACAATAACCATAGCAACAACCACAATAAAAAAAATTGGGGAATTTCCATATTGGAGGAATTTTTTACTTTACACATTTTCTCTAAAATGTTTGTCCTAAATGTATGTTTTTCCAGAAATTGTAAAAGTTATGATTTATTGGTAACAGGACTTTGTGTTGCCCAATTCTGTCTGTTATCATCTCAGGACTACTTCACAGTTGTCCGATAATCACTCTGACTTATGATTACAGATTGAATTGGACCCTACTTGCTCCTATTACCATTATAAATCACTGAATGTGTCAAATTTTCAACTTCATTTAATCCCATCTCAGAAGTAAATCACCTGTTTCTATCAATTCTGTCAAAGCACCATTTCATTATTTTCAATCAATGACAGACAGTGAGTCAGTCTAGCTATTAGTCATCAGACAGTCAGTCTACCTCTACATTGTATCTCAGCTATTGAAAGTATTACAGTGACTATACTTCTCACTTCAGCTAATAGTATGTACATGTACCCATAGTACATGTCTGAATACTTTTCAAAGAGCACCCTGTCCCATTTTTTTCCTTTATTCCACCCTCCTTAACAATAGAGTTTGTCCATCAGAGAATCTTATTTTCTGAATTTTTCACCTTTTTTTATATTCACATGCTAACCTTCTGCACAAGCTGCTGGGCATCTGTCTTTATCTTTTCATTCCTTGCTGATGTGTACACATTTAGTATTGAGTACAGAAAGGATGCTGAGCTTTTTCCCTTCTGATAGGACAAAATTAAAATTAAAGCATATAATGTAATATAAAGAAACAAACTAAAAACAAAAGTTAATGACATTCACCATTTACAAATCAAACCCTTGAAACACTCAAGTCACAAACTCTGCTGCATGCAGCCCCTTCTCCTACAATGAAATTAACTTGCTTGTGTTTTATTTTCTCTCTACACTGCAATGGAATCCAAATGGGAAATTGCACTGCTTCAGGATTGTTGCTAAATGACTTTTTGTTGCTTCACATAGTTCTAACACTCAAGTCACAAACTGTGCCACACACAGCCCTTCTCCGTCAGATAAATTAATTCCCATGTATTTTAAACTCTCTTTACACTGCAATGGAATCTAAATGGGAAATTGCACTGCTTCAGGACCCATGCTAGATAGCATTTTGTTGCTTCACAATAAGTTCGAATGTTTTTTAAACAATCCAATATTACAACGTACACGTGGAGTGAGGAACACAACCCACTAACCCTAACCTGAGAGAACCTAAAAAAATACTGGTAGATTGGGGTTGGGTTGCTTGAAACAGTATAAACCTAACCCAAGCTACGAGTAAATTTTTTCCTTCTGTTTTGAGCTTTGGAGCATTAAAAGAGAAATCTTACTCAATTTTAATCCTGAATTAGTGCTAAATGCTCTTCAATTTAACAAGCTGCTGTATCAAGATTAAATTGACACAATTTGGCCATTTAAATTGACACTTGTAGAGAGGGTAAATGGATAGAGACAGGAGGAAGAAAGAGGAAAAATAATTGAGCACAGCAGCTACATGTACAAAACAAGTTCAAGTAAAAGAGTTAATGTTTTGCCTAAAAACACCAACCTGTTGAAACCACTTTAAGCTGCCAGGTGGTGCATGGAGTAAGATCCGTAAAGTTAATTGCTGTGCAATAACTGGCAATTTTGCTTCCTGTTGCCCTGACAACAACTTTCTGAGGTCAAAGTTGATATGGGAAAGGAGTGAAGGACTTAGAAGCTGAAAGCCATGGATTATTTTCAGGCTTTCTGCAAGGAAGATTGTTGGGCTTGCCAAGTCTGAAAATTAAAAGCACAATATTGAAATGACAAAATGACAAACCTATAATTGTTGTCTTAACCTTTTAACTCCCAAAATCTCACAGCTAATTCTCCCCTTAGTTGTGAAACATTTTCTTGCAAATTAGTTCTGAGAATTTGGTCTTAGATCAAGATAACAACTTCTGACTAATAAGTTTGAGAATTCTCATTACCTATTTGCCAGATGATGTATGGATATCTTAATGAGAAGATACATGTTAATCATGTCTGGAAGTTAAAAGGTTAAATCTCATGGTAGGTAAGCATCCAACCAGGCCTGAGAATAAATTCTTGTTTTCTTTTTGTGATAATAAATTATCAGGAGAACCTGAGAAGATGCTACCATGGGTTGGGGTGAAGGGAAATTGTCATGCACTAACATTTCATTCAGGTGGGGAAAAGCAATACCTCTAGACTCTTCATTAATTGTGGGTAAACTGAGACACATTTCAACCATATGAGCCTCTAACCTTGCAGGTACAACTTACATGTAAAAGTTCCCCAACCATAATAGAAAAACAAATTCCAAACTTGAATGACTTGCACACTTTCAACAACAGGTCATGTACTTTTTGCCTTACAGCTGGATCAGAGGTCTGTTCCTTACTGTTATTTTCTTCTGTATCTTTTTTGTACTGATAAAGATTTGCCAGTTGTGAGAGGGTATGGGGGATGAAGAACTGCACGAACACAAACTAACAAAAACTCGACACAAACCTTCTCCTTGTGACTCTCCCTTTGTTTTACCACTAACAAGGTTCTGCCTCAGTGAGATGAAAGTGTTTACATCGGGTAATGCCTTAACAACCTCTTCTCTGAACTGTTGCACTAATGGTGCATCTGTAGTGTTGGCCAGGTCCTCTGAAGTATCCTCACTGGAGGCCAAACACTGCACAGCATTCTGTGCTCTGTTCAAGATTACCATTACCAGTGACAATGTTGTGTGTTTCACTAGATAACTTGCATGCTGTTGACAAATAAATCAGAACACAACACCAAATTAAAGGGAATCAACACAGTTTTGATCAACTGCTGGCAAATAAATGTTGAGAAGGGCAGGAAGGTTAGCTTACCTGAACATATACACTGCTCAGTAAAAATACTTATCACAACCCACAATGCGAGAAGTAATTGTTTAAAGGATCATGTCAACAAGACATGTAAAGGAAAAATCTGCCAGATATATACATGTAGCTGTGGGGCACACTTTGCACTCAAGCAAATATTTTTTAACTTTCAACCTTTCAACTCATGTAAATGTCAGTACTAACTCCAAATATTGGATATCCTTGGCCTTCAATTTAAATTCCACACTTTCTATTCTTGCCATCAATGTCATAGTAACACCATTTTTTTTCTAAATTGGTTAAGCCAAGAGCTGTTTATGGCATTTCCAAATATTCCACCAGTAGGTGGGTGGGAAACTTGGAAAATCTCATGAAAAATGCAAAACAACAAACTTACCTGAACACCACGGCTTAAACTTGTGCGGCTTAATCCAACAGGAACTACTATGTTTACCAAGGTTGGCAAAATTTCTTTTGTCATCTTCACACCATACTTTTCCACCATTATTGATGGTTGTGGCAGTGCTATGTAAACCTAACATGGAAGGAAACAGTAACATTCAGAAATCTTTCACCATTGCTCAAGCAAAAAAGCTGGCAGCAGCAGTATAATGTATCAAATCCAAATGGAAAACCAGATGGCTCATCACCTTGACTGTGTTTCTGAAACTCTTAGCTACTTGTTAAACAAGTAAAGTAAGTAATAGCTGTACTTGAGTCATATTGGCCCACCCAGCTAGAGCTTATTTCGATTTCCAAGTAGCATGAAGCAACTAGGAGTATCACTACTCCCCCCTGGATGGCTTCTCCATTGCAAGGTTACCCCCACAGCATTTCATCAGGCTTCCCTGAAAAATTCATTAGTACCCATGCCATTTATACTCCTGGGTGGAGAGAGACACTGTGAGAGGTAAGTGTCTTTCCCACGAACACATCACATTGACCCTGCCAGGCCTTGAACCCAGACCTCTTGACTCAGAGTTGAGTGCCCTGACCATTGGGCCACTGTGCCTCTACCTCTTCTTATTAGACAGCACAGTTGAAAATGGTTAAGGAAGAGAGGAACACAACTGGGTCAAGCAGTTATGGGTGACTGTCAAAGCCCTGACTGCTAATCAAATTGGATGAAAAGAAAATGTAAAAACATACATGTGCCTTAGCTTATGTCAAGAACAGTGACACCTATAGATGTAGATATACATGATTTTTGTATTGATCATCAGTAGGACTGTTTCTCACCTTTGTCAACAGGTTCATGTTTGCAATCCAATGCATAGAAAGCCTTGGTTCGTATGTTGCTGTCAAACTGGATAAAAAGGGCCTCACAACATCATGGCAACAGCACAACACAGTGATCACAAGTTCCTGGACAAGTACATCTGTTGTTGCTGAAGATAAGGTTTGAAGAAACCTTAACAACACTGGATTATTACTCCTGTAAAAACAATTGTCATCTTCAGACATTATTGAAAGCAAATTATCATTGCTGAGCAAGCATCAAAACTGGTTATTGATAGTGTAAAACCAAAAAGCCACAGGATATCCATACTCAGAAAACTTTAATCCTTTGACTCCTAAGAGTGACTAACATCTAATTTCTGCTTATAATATCACCCCTGATTCAAACATTAAGACCACAGGAATACAAGAAATGATCACTAACTTAATTTGAGAAGCTTTTGATTGGGAAATATGTTCTCCTTGTCAGCACCTTAGGAAATGTATGAAGAATAGTATGGAGAATATGTATACTGATGTTAGGATAGAAAGGGTTAAGAGAAAGAAAAGGTGATCTTTGTCAAGGAATTACATGCATCCAACATATAATAGAAATGTTGGTTGTCAGTAAATTGCTCATGATAAAAAATGCTATATCTCTACAAACCAGTACTGGTCATGCAGCATGTTTAAGGCTGATTTCTGTTCCTACAGATCTGACATGTACATCTCTATGTTAAAGGGCAGTATTATCAACATAAAGCCTTAAATTCACTCCTTTTCAAAGCATGAGCCACTGGCAAGGGTTCTTAAATTCCCCCTTTCTCTAGCAAAGCATTTTATCTGCATTCATAAAAGTTAGAAAGTATACTCTACCTAATGGAAAATGCCCCAGCCACATTGAAAAAACAAATTCCAAATTTGAAAGACCCACACACTTTCAACAATAGGTCATGTACTTTTTGCCGCACTGTTGGATCAGAGGTCTGTTCCTCACTGTTATTTTCTCCCATATCTTTTGTGTACTGATAAAGATTTGCCAGTTGTGAGAGGACATGAGAGTTAAAGAACTGCACTTTGGTTTTCTTTGTAATCCCAGAATTGTGCACCACCTTCAAAGGTAGAGAAAAACAACTATTTAAAAACCATGACTATTTAAATGTATGGCTGTGTATGAGTCAGTTATGCTGCTCCTTCTGTAAACAAATCTTATTTCATATAACAGAAAGGGACTATGGAGGAGCACCACACCTAAAGTGGCCTGCTACTCCTCATAAATACAACATCAGTTAATTACAGTCATGTAACACCCAGACAAGTTCTTCTATTTCTGTGGGTACCCATTCAAACTCACAAGTGGGGAGAGAAGATGTCAAGGCTGTCACAAAGTTTTGAAGCAGCCATTACTTGGAAAATATCACATGTACTGCTGTAACTTATGGTCAAGTGTAACATGACAGCAATCTGCTTGGTTGAAACAGGCTGTGACCCCTATTGACAGCTCTAGATGTTGGAGTTAAGTGTCTTGCCTTGTAAAAACATAGCATAATGATCTACCAAGACTCAAACATGAACCTAGCTCTTATCCAAAAAGGAACTGGATGCTTTAATTCACATTTTCAACTTGAGATAATGACTGTTTTTCCACATTAAATGAGCACTCTAATAAGCACCCTGCTCTGAATAAGCACCCATCCCCTGAGCAATTATATCAAATAAGCACCCACTTGAATAACTGCCCCCCTCTTCCTTCCTCACTTTCTTAAATAATGGGGATATAAGGAAAAATTGTTTCTACTGCCACTTTATTTATAACTTTTTAAGCTTCAAGTACAGCAAGATCAGTACAGGATAATGGTTTTTTATAACTGCCTCCTTTATTAAGTGCCCTCCTTTCAATAATCCCCCCCCTTTTTAGCCAACTATCTAATGATAGGTGCCACTTACTCTTCCTTGCAAGGTAGATAACACCATATGAACTAGCTCTGGTTTATCAAGAGACAAACCTTTCAATACTGACTGAAGAAATCCTGTATTTGAAGATGAAAAAGAGAAAAATTAGTGTTAATAAAACATAGAATGGACTTTATTAAAAGGTGCAATAGTGTTCAACCAGTAAAATGAACAGTACATGATGATTTATTGGAGTCAGTCACAAAAATAATTTTTCAACTCTTAACTCTCTAGATAGTTTCAAGATTATTTTGTAATCTCCCTTCAAGCTGCATACATTTCCTTGTAAAATATATTAGGTAATTTGCTTGAAGTATTAATGTCTTACTTTAAAGACTTTTATCTCTTCTTTTTCAAAATACCTTCCTCCTCTTTAAAGTGAATACTGGTAGACACTTAAACAACACCACACAGAAACAATGAAAACATCAAGAATACATGTACAATACAATTACAGGTAAATACCTTTTAGTTCTAATATCTGTTTCATAACCACCAAGTCACCAAACATCAGAAATGAGAGACAAAAGTATATAAAACAAGTCCTCACATCTTGCGCCGACTAAAAAAAACAAAAGTAAATAGTTCAAACTATTATACACCATAGCAAAGACAAGTTAGAGAGAAATGTGGAAAGGACAAATAAAAACCCAAAGGAGGTAACTGGTTATAATTTCATAATGCTTATCATGTACGCCTATTATAGAGGCAGGGATGTCATTAACAGCTGAACTCCAGGCAAATTACTGAGTGACCAGTTGTGAAGTTGACTTTTCACTACTGCTTCCAAAATCTCAACCAAAAGAATACCACTGACAATGTTTACTTTCCCATATTTTTTTCATGTGTCTTCTTAAAGGCAAAATGTATCATTTTGTACTTACAAAATGTAGAGATCTTATGAGGAGTACACTTCTGAAGCACTTAAGGGGGCAGGGGGCCTCATTTTGCAGTTGCTTTTCATGATAGTTGTTGGGTGTCAAATATCATTTTTGCATGTCAAATATCATTTTTGGTTAATAATTAAGTTTGCTTATCATTTGAGACCTCTAATTTTTGTAACCTTGAGAGAACACAGTTGTCATCAGCTACTGAGATATCAATTAATTGGGATTGCCACAGTATGAAGGGGTTACTTCTTTTTTGTCTTGTTGTTTTCCCTTTTGTCTGCACAATTTATTGGTTAATCATTTAAAACACCGTGCATAAAGTATGTTACCATGCCAAATCCAGATGCCCCATGCTCTAAGCCAGTAAATGAAACCCAAGTGAAAGTTGTGGTACTCTGCACATGTACAACCTGTATATTAATTTCAACTGTACAATGACTTACATTACTATCATGTTTGTTTGGCAGTGCCCCAAGAGACTTCAAAGTGAAGTCAAACGAGCTTTGAACTTCTCTTGCAGTAGATGATCCTTGTGTGACCATGGCAGTGAGTAGTTTTAATGCAGCCTTTATAACTTCAGGAGGATTCCCTGGGTTCAGGCATGAGTACAACAACTTCATGTGACCTTGTAGAACACGTTGAACTATTGACACTCCCAGTCTATTAGCAAGTTGGCTTTCCTCTGCAGTGTACAGCAAAATTCTCTCCAAGATCTCCATACATGTTTGGATCTGCAATGAAAATGGTCTTAATATAATGATATTATAACTTAAGACATTAACCTTGTATTGGACATCAAGTGACTTTTGAGTACTATCATTGAATTGAATCCTCCTTGGGAGGTAACCCAAACAGTTGATTGACATGTATGCATTTTCAGACAAAATAAATTCTTATCTTCAGGACATGCAGATGATAAAACTGAAAACCCCTGCCAATGTTAGCAAGCAGTTTCTCCAATAATTTCCTGTCCCAGGCCTCTTGTGGCTTTGCACAAACAAAACTGCCAGCTTCACTACCAATCATATTTCAAGAGGCTAGCACCTCTCTAAACTTAGGTTATACACTCTGTATTTAACATATATATTGATGAACATTGATCAAGTATTACAATTAGCTGGATTTAAAGCAAAATTTTAGTGCACCTTCTAGTAGGCTAGTGAATGTTCCACATACCTCAAGCTTAGAAAGACCCTGTTGACCTATCTCTAAAATGGTGAAAATTTCTCGAAACTCTCCGCCTTCCTTAATGATATCTCCAACAGATTCTTTGGCTTGTAATTCTTTGAGTACATTCAGAAGTTGTTTCAGACCTTACAAGTCAACAGATATATTACATCACTGGTTGTAAAGGTAAGTCTGTACTTGAGTCTATTGGCTCACCCAGAGGGAGCTTATCTCAGTTTCCATGTAGCATGAGGTGACCACGAGTATTACTACTCTTCTCTGGATGGGATGCTAATCCATTGCAAGGTTACCCCAATAGCATTTTAATGGCTTCCCTGACAATTATTCAGTACCCATTTATACCCCTGGGTGGAAAGAGGCACTGTAAGATTTAAGTGTCTTTCCAAAGAACACAAAACATTGACCAGGCCATGTCTTGAAGTTGCACCTCTCGATCCAGTGTCCAGTGTCCAGTGCACTTTCAGGCCATTGGGTCTCCCCTATCACTCATGTTAAGGGTGACATTTTCAGTATGTCATTCACAGTGCATCTCTTCCTCAAGGGGCTCCCTCCCTTTCCCTTTCAACTTTCAAATTCAAGATCACAATACTTGCAGAATCGCAATAACTGCCTGGTTAACGACAGGTAAAATATCATTTGTATGTTTGATAGACGAAATGGCAGAGGAATAAAGCTAACGAGAGTCTAGCCTTAAGTAGCCAAGCTGCGTGGAATAGTAGATGCCAGTCTGCAGTGATCTTCAGGTGAAAACGAATGCAGGCAAGATTGATCTGTGTTTTCTTTGATTAAGGAATGTAGAAATGCAAATCAAACAATAGTTCGAAACCATTTAGTCCTAATACTTATTCACAACTATTCAACGTTTAATTCATATCAGTTCTTGCCTAATTTTGCTCAAAGGTTCACCTTTTGGAATAACGGTAAAACCACGAAGAAGGCCAATAACCATTTGAGATGTCAGTATTCTACTCACCGGAAAGCCTTGTGTGTTCTTTCTGTAGCAAACCCTTCAACGATCGTGCGAATTCGCCCGACTTATGGTTGCTTTGCTTCTCGTCACGCGCCTTTCTCTTTCTTTCAGGAGTTCCTTCGTCAACGATGTGTTCACCTTTTCGTTTCTTCATTTCAGTCTTGTTGTAATTTTATCCTGTAAGCGTTCTCAAAGCTATGGGTGCGAAGGCTAAGAGAGGTAACGAAGGAAACTCAAATGTATCGAGACGTCCGCCATGTTGCTAATTCGCACGTGGTTAGGTAACTACTTCATTTAAGAACCTTTACTTTGCGTGACAAAGAGATATCGTGACGCATAAGAGATTGAATTTTTTTTTTCCCTTTTTCTTAAAATGTTTCCCATAAATGAATAAAACTGCGGGAATCTCCTTGACTAAAATAATAACCTTGAGTTTTAAAAAAGCACGTATAATCAAACTTTTCACGTAATCATGAATACCTGAAATATTCCTGCATTGTTCATTGTATTATCAAGCATTCACCAGTCTGCATAAAATGCACAGAACAATGTTTGAATCATACCAGGAAAGTCAGAAAAATACCATACAATCATACAAACTGCAAAACTTTACTAAAGATCACTGCAAAATACAATATCACTTTATGTCTTTGCTACCAAAAAGTAACCTGAACATGCTTTGATGTGTATCAATTACCTTGACTAAACCTTGAGAAAGTTTGATACAGAGAGAAACATGGTGTATGAATCATAAAATAATTTCTTTGCTTAAGAATAACATGAGTGAAGGAATCACACAACAGGACTTCTCAACAAGATGAGAGACGACAGAAATGTGTACTTCTTGATACATGATAATTAATTGCATTAAAACTGATCCAAATATTCCTTATGGGTGAGGGGAACTGTATCAAGAACTAGATTGTTTGTGTGTATGCAATGTCTGAGTGTGTTGAGGGGGAGGGGATAAAGGGGGGAAGGAAATGATTGAGGTAGGATATTCATCCTAAAACAAGAAATTATCTAAAATACAATGCAAATTCTCCTAATAAATACAGTTTACTGAGAAATTTGGAATTCCAAAAGACCCTAATTTTTACAGTGTAAATTTAAAAAGTTAAATTACGAAGCCTTGTGATGATATGTACCATCTGAATGTTGAATGCTTAGCAGATCAAACACTACACTCATTCCCTCTTTTGTGGGGGAACAACAGTACAGTCCAATCTTCACTGCTTTGCCACCTGACTCAAGGTGAGCAATGCGGACAAATTTCCAGTCATCAGGGCTTCCATCTGGTAATTTGCTCTCAACCTAGGTAATAAACATACATAATTATGATAATCACAGTATTGTGCAAAAGTAACACAAACAAACTTCAACAAATTTCCTGGCTTTTCATGGCTTTTCAAGGAAATTTCACTGCGTAACAGAGAGATATTTACAAAATAATTGCATTTATTGTTCATCATCAGTTGTTTAAGTAAATAATTACTCTATCTATAATTTGTCTCATAATTTGGAGTCACTGTCAATATGATGAACACTCTCTGCAAAATTTTAATAACAACACAGCTTATTTTCGTCAGCTGTTGGGCTTTATGTTTACAGTGCTTTATGTATTGTGGCAAGTTGATAAAGGCTGCAATTGCTTTTCTGTTATAGGTGCATTTTGATTCTCATTTCCTTACTGATCTGTCAAGTCCAACTGAGATACAAGTAGGGTTACAGAAGCCATCCATACTAATGCTACATCCAAATACATGTAATTTAAGTAGAGACAGCAGATTCAAAATTCCTGAACTGGACAAGCCTCAGTTGTGGTTAATTACTTTTCTTTGCTTCAACCTTTTTCAAACCATTCCAAACTTTATTTTTCTTTATTTCTTGTAATCATGGCAATAAGTACACAACAGAGTGTAGCAAAAATCAAACTGGATTGCAAAATTTTAAACCAAAATCAACAACATTAACCAATAGAGAAGAACTTTTCAGCAGTATATAATTATGCAATAACAAAAAACTATAAGGGGAATAGGGGTCATATATAATCTTTCAGGATCAGAAAAGGTACGATTTAAGAATGTAACAATACTATCACTTACAACATAATCATCATTTATCTTGTGAACCCTAAGAGCCAGTTTGTTGCTATTCCATGACTGCGTTGACCAATCACTCCACCTGTTTGTTACAACACAGCTCATGGAGCACTCTCCATCCACATATTCCAGACCCTGCCATGAAAAAATTCAAAAGGAAAATTAAATTTTCTTGTATTGTAAAAGAGTTGCTTTCTAGCAAGACAAAATTGTAACAAGTTAATTAGGTAGAGAAAATTAAGATATAATTGTAGTACTCACAGTTTTTATCCAGTGATCACCATCCACTCTGACCATAATACCAGCCTATTAAATGAACAAAATCAATGCAGAAGATTTTTTTCAAATGAAAAAAAAGTATTAAACCATGACAATTCAGAGGGAAGTTTGTGTGCCTTATTTACAAGGTGTTTCTGACAAAATCCAACTAACCAACTCTGACACTCCAACAGACTCCATTTTAGCAAACCACAAGGCTGTTCCATAACATGAGTAAATTATTTTCTTTGTTCATACACCTTTATTTTTCAAAAGAAATTTACATGACTGTTGTTCCTATAATTGTAAATCATTGCCAACTATTTATTCTTTGAATTTGATTATCAAGACATGTCATTAACAAAATGTCATGCGTTGGTGCATGTATCTGTTATTTTTTTCTCACAAGACAATAAGTACAAATAAAAGAACACATTCACAAGTAGTAGTTGTACTGAACATGGCTCAATAGCATCTGGTCAATTTCTGTACAATTTGTAATAGTAATAGGACTGGGTGGAGTCCAATTTGGTCTGTAATCATACGGGTGATTAACAAAATTGGCCAGCCACAAAGCGGGAGTCCATTTGTTAATCACAAGTAATGGTAATAGGACCCTGTGGAGTCCAATTAGGTCTGTAATCATACAAGTGACTGACAAAATTGGACAACAACGAAGTGGGAGCCTGATTTGTTAACCAAAAATATGATTACAGAGAGAATTGGATGACACTAAGTCTTTTAATCAATTTATCAAAACTAATGTCAAAATTTGAGGAAAAAACTAGCCATCTGTTGTACACTATCATAAGAAAAAAACAGTTCATTCAGAAAAATGCGAGACCACAGCACATGCACATGACACATTATGTCCACTTACACAGACATGACATGTTAACTGTCCCTTTAACTGTGCTATTACACTGTCCAATTACAAGCATGATGGGCACACTGTTCTATTAGTGCTCAAATGGGCTGGTGATGATCAATCATGTTCGAGAATTTTGTTATAGTTTTGATTAGACAGGTTACAGGTTAATTATATCAAATATGATCCAACAAATTACAAGGTATTTCAAAATATTACCATATGAGCTCACCTGATCAAACTGGTTTAGAGCTTTGAGTTCAAACGATGTTTCAATGACACTGTTCATCTGTTTTACCACAAGATGAAGCAAGTGACCATCATCTTTAATAATTTGAGGATTGTAATAAGTTCTGGAGAAAGAAATTATGTAAAACACTTTGAACAAAAGAATACAATGCATTCTGTAGCAATAATCAAGTATCTGACAGATTGTTCCAATTGGTGTTATGTTTGTTCTCAAAATAAAATCTACATTACACCATGGAACCTTCCTCATATTATACTGATTGCAATTTGGTAGCCTCTTAGAGTGACTGATGAGACCATCAAGCTACAGTGTTTTAAAGTTCATTGTTACATAACACTATCTACATCTAGTAACTAAAAAATGGGTCACAAACCTCTTCCAAAAATCCGTTTGTCCTTTCTAAAATAAAGAAGGGAATATTTCATACACATTTAATAAAGTAATCAATGCAGTAAGCTCATCACATTAATATGCTAGTTGGCAGAGCTATGTATTGCTTTTATTAATAGCTTATGTACCTTACTTAAATGTGACAAGTGTAACAAGGCAATATTCAGAAATTCTGTCAATTGCTAGTTTAAAGAGTGACCCTGCTAAAAAGCCACGATCCACCCTTCCATAAGAAAAATCTTTTGAACCCCAAATTAATTGAAAGTCCAATAATTGCTTTATTTTAAACCACAATTACCGGTAACTCCCTCCATTTATATAAAATAACATATTCTGCACCCAAAGACATCATGGTTCCATTAATTAACAGCTGATATAGGGTTCTGCTTCGTCAAAAACTAGTACGTCAATTTTCCCACTTAAAGAAGTTTTCATTTATTTTATAGACATCCCACTTCGTCCGTGTTTGGAAATCTAGGACTCGCACTACGGGTACCTGTTGCTAAGATTTGACAAGCTACATGAAAAGAAGAACGTACCGAAAAAACTTTTAAACCTGTGTCACCATTGCAACGTAGTTTATACTGTTGTGGTGGATTATACCAGAGAATGTCAGGACCGAGCTTTTCTGAGCTAAAATCTAACGATAAGGAAAACCGGTCCACAACTGCCGCCATAATCAGCGGCCTGAGTACTGCGGGCGCATATGGATGTTTATACTTAAAAAGCTTTCAATGGCGGACAGTGAGGAGTCTGGGAAGCCAAATGATTTCTCTCCGTCATGAGAAAATTGTAGCTATTTGGTTTATTCCTACATAGACTTGTACAAGGGTGAGTTGAAATCAGATTCTTTGGCTGCCAAGATTCTCTCCTTTACGTACAGGTATGTTCCTTGACCTATCCTGATCGTTATCAATAATCGGTATTACCCAGCCCGCACTCTCTCTTTTCTTTGAGAGACTAATGCACAACTACGTTTTTTATACAACAGACTTCTCGAAGGATAATCGGGTTTACAAAGCGCACAAACAAAGTAGTAAGAATCTGATTGTCGACAAAGTACTTCATCATTTTATAGTCACGAAACACCTGGTCACGCAACAATTATTGGTAACGTTGTTCTCGGTGACGTGCTTCCTTCGCAAGCCACGAATTGTTACAAGTTCACATGCGTTAGAAACCAGTGATCAAGAGTTTCATTTTTTTATCGCTGTAATTGTTAAAAGCTGCTGCGAATGGTGGCTGGTAGGAGACTAATTGCAACCCGCTGCTGCACCCCATTTTACTGGATTGCCTGACGGAAGATTGGGTGTCACGCGCCTTTCGTGTCATACACGATGGGCAATAGGGAGGAAATGGGGAGAAACATCAGCACATTCGAACGATGGAATAAGTCAAGAAGTTAACAAAATTTGGACACTTAACCTTTTTTTATTTCTTGTCATTGACCTTCTGTAAGACTAAACAGACACACATCTAAATACAAAATTAAGGTTATAATCCAATCTCGCATGCTCTTTTTCAACAAGAAGAATACCCATGATCTTATCGCTTTAAGTAAATAAGCATAACAGGCAATTGCTTTATAGCTATTGCTTACTACTGCTTTTACTATGCCAGCTCAAGATCAACTACCATTGTAACATTTTTGAGATGTGTTGTCTGATTGCCGTTGGTCCACGTTGAAAAATTTACGAAAATCAGACAAAAGGGGCTTCCTTATTTTTTGAAACTGGTTATCTACGAATCATATTTATATATTGTCTACTTCTTTAACCCTTTAAAGAAACATCTCTACTTAAGATAAAGTCGCAAAAACCTAGCGAAGAGCTCTTGAAATTTCAAATTGAAATTTTTCAAATTTCTAATCAGATACTAGGACCAGAACTCCTAGGTCACGTGCACAGCTTAAAGTGTTGAAAGTCAGTACACTTCACGGGATTACGTCTCATAGAACATAAAAATTTGGAGAAATTAACACGAAAATTGTAAGTTTTTTTCCTCATATGACAGTTCTTGCTCCCGAAACGCGTGGTTTTCTGTTTGGGAGCAAGTCTGAAGAGTTCCCTATCATTCATTTGGTTTTATGTACATAAATTTGGTTCAGCCATTTTACAGCTAACATTACCTTCGCTCTAGTCTATTCATGAGTCTCCACCGAAGGTCCTTTCCACATAAATTGCCAACTATTTTCTTATTTTCTTGTGCCTGACAAACATAATTGGCTTTCCGTTTACAACACAATAAATTTTACGGCTCTCCTTTAAGATACCTAAGTTTGTGTAGTGTAGTCCGCCTCGCGAGCGAAAAAAAATGCGGTACTTTGAGAAAACTAGCTTTCCGGCGTCAAGTGTTTTAGTGGCGTTGGCCTTTCTGTACTCCCATCAAAAATTATATCATATCGCACAGCTACTGCAAGGATTGATTTTATCCCCCTCCCTAAATTCATATAACTTATTGTCAGTAAATTTTCATAAGATGCCGTATATGGAGCCGACTCTCCGCACAACCTCACACACCAACTGCTTCACCTTAGTGTCGGCGCCGGTAGAAATAAGGCATGTCACAGCGGGAAAAACCGCTGGTAGAACGGCTTTGAACTGCAGCGTAGGTAAACTAAGAAGCAGCTCTAGCATGGTTATAACCAGATTTGTCCAAATGTTTACTTGAAGCAGTTCGTCTTCTTTTCGCTTCAAGAATTGTCTTTCAAGTTCTATCATGCGGATGTCTTCCTCTAGGAGTTGTTGATAATGTTTCGATTTGGGATCACGAGGGAATTTCTCCGAGGAGGAGGAGGAGGAGGAGGAGGAGGAGAGTTTCCACCTTCCGAGGGGAGAGTGCAACGGTTCATCCGGATAACCATTGCTCCAACTGGAGATATCACGAGCATGCGCAGGGGAAGATGTTGACGAGAATGAGAAACTTCTCTCCAGATCAACCTCGAATGACATGTTGCTTTGAGCTTCGCTCTTATACTGATTGTACAGACGCACATACACGCTGCTCAATTGATCACAAGCCTCGTTTAAGCGCCGCACAATCCAATCTACGTTGCGATCTCCCTTGAGCAAGTCATTGTGGCGCGCGGGGCTATTCCCTGCCTCCTCTTTGATGCCATCGTCTTCTTTATCCTGCTGGTTGTTTGTGACCCGGTCTCCCGTCAGAATGCGCTTAATATGAGAGCTGGAGAAGTGCTCTCCACTGTGTCTACAAATTTGGAATAGAGTGTGGAGGTAACACGTGAATGCTGTCGTGGATTGCCGCAGGAGGTTTGCGGGCGCGTCAAGCTTGGCTAGCTTTTGAATTAACGACCTTAAACCAGGTCGCGCGTTGAACTCGTAGGCCACTGTGTGAGACTCCATGAGGCAATCAAATAACACTGATAAATTAGCCGGTGAGAGGTACGAAAGGAGACCAGGAAGATTCGCTTCGGAGCTCTCATTACTGAAACCTTCTAGAGAGGTTGGAGGGTTGACTGGGTTCGAACTTTGTGCCATGACGCTCTCCGCATTGTCGAGGAGAATGGAACCGAGAGTTTGCAGCAAGAGCTGATGGGAAAGCAAACTCACCAACAAACCGCGAAGAGGGACCCTGGGAACAATTAAAGTACAATGTTACAACAGTTACTTTTACGTGACAACTCAAACTCTAATCTGACAGCATATTAAAAAAAAAATCATGATTCCTTTACAGTGAAGACATTGTATTCAAACTGAGCAATGCTTTGTAGCTAGAATGTTTTCAGCGAACAAAGAGAATTAACGGTGGATCATTGCAACACACAAAGTATGTTTTATCCATTAAGGTAAAATTTTTTTTAAACAAGATCGTTCATTCTCTCACCTATCTGCATTCTCAGGTTTTTCTTTATTTTCCACTGATGACAACACAAATACATAAGACCGCTGATCATCTTCTTCGTTCGCAGGCCTAGGCGTTTCCTGTTTATGGTTGGTAGACTTATCAACTTGATTGTCCAGTAGGAACACCTAACGAAGGAAATAAAACGAGAAAAAAAAATTTCAACAATTATTAGTAGATGTCCCTCTTCCTCAGAAGATTCCTTTTGCTCAGAAGATCTGCACCTTGGGAAAGAGGGCCGGTACAAAAAGTTAAAAGCTGGCAAGAATTTAGACCTGAATCATTTCAGAGACGATATTTCTCAATTATTGTTAGACATAACTTATCTTGTCTCCCGGCAATGATGTGAATTTCATCTGGCGTGCTGCTGTAATGATTTGGTAAGAACAAATAGAAATTCGCAATATTTACAAGATTTGTTTTGCCTTATTAAGTGTGTGAATAAGAAACCACGCGCTACCCTTTCAACCAATCAGATTCAAAAGCAAAACTAGCCGCGACTTGGTCACTCGCGCTTTCCCGCGCTTGAGGTAGTTAACTTGTTTTCACTTCGAGTCCTCATTGACTTCTTGTGATATTTCCCATTCTTCTGATAAACCACTGTGGTTACTTTGATTTTAGTTTTACGACACTCAATACGCTATGGTAGTGCTCCTCATAGCTTATTCCTCTCTTAAATCTTACTTGCTCTGCCACTTGCTGCAGTCGAATCATATCTGCTGTTATAACATCTCGCCGTGCAACAACCCTGACCGTCATTCCCTCGTCGCCATTTACGCTGAATGACCCTGGTTGGAAGCACGCTACCATGTCCCTCAGGTTTGACAGGGTCGTATGTACCGCCTCTCTAAGCCCCTCACTAACAATGAGCCACAGGTCCTCTGTAAAGACTGGTCCTCCCGAAAGTAATAGGTGCCTGAAAGGTCATAGAAGAAAGGAAACATTAGGCTGGTGTAATTGTGACTTGTTCTGGTGAAAAGTTTTGTGACAATTTCCCTCTGCTAAAAATTCGACGATATATAGAATAACAAGTGGAGAGGCATGAACTGGTTGATTTTAATAAACAGAGCTCTCGATTACTTTCACGATCATATTAGGAATGTACTGGTTATTTTACAATACAATCAAACATATTTTACTTGACTTGTGCGTCTGCTCAGTAAGAGATCACAGATGACGTAAATTGTGGTAAGAACAAGAAAGTGGCACGCCAGGGGCAGCAATAGATCGTAGGTATGAACCAATCAAAAGAAGTGTACAGTTTTGTTGCAAAAGCCGAAATGCGAAATCGTCCGATAAATAAAAGCGGTATCTTAAAGGTACATTACCTGAGACAAGAACACCCAAGCCTGGCAATTCCTTCCACAGGTTGGGAAACACACTCCAACAGTAGATCCAAAGTTTGTTTAATCATTCCAGGAACGCACTCAGCAGCTCCTAAAATACATAAGCAATACTGGATTTGAATAGACTATTGGAACGGTAATTTTCGCTGGTTACAGTAAGATTTTGAAAATTCGGGTTACTGAACTGAGAGCATTGGTTTTAGAAAAATAGAATTCAGGAGATGAAAAATAGTTGGGTTTTTTCTCAAACGTTTTAAAGTGATAGCTAAAGCACACCTTTAGTCTCTGTCATTTTGAGAACTCTTTACTGCACCGTGCGAGGTGCTCAATTTGCGTCCTATAAGTGAGGTTAGGTTGTGCCGGGTTAAATTTCACAAAGGTACAGCTAGCCAACTTAGCCCTTTTCTTCTCCTGAGTCATCACGTGTTTTGCATTTGTTTGCTACAGTGTTTGCTATAACAACTTTAATTAAGTTACCTTGGACGCTTAAGAATTGACCAAGTTCCTCCACCACAAGTTCAGTCACGAGACCGCATGCTTGCTTGAAATTTGCCGCTGTATTCTCCCAATAGCTGCCATCCCTGTTTCCTCGCTCAACCCAGGACTCAAGCACTGGGAGTAGGAGATTCGTGACTACATAGATAGAGAAGTGAGGGCCTGGTACTGTGGTGATCGAGCGCAAAATATCAAACAAGACTTCTAAAGTTTGGGGCTGAAATTTACAGGGGCATTGAGCGACTACCTTAGTGAGCCCCTCTAATAATAGGAACCACACGCGCAGAACTCCAGTGTCGTCGATTGAAGCAATTGAAGCCGCCGACGTCATAGTTGGGATTGGATTCTTTTCTTTCCGGTTGTTAGAATCGTTTTGTTTTATAGGACTTAGAGAAGGACTGGGAGTGCCTGGAAATTCCGAAGAATATTCCACCAAACGAATTGCGTGTGATCCATGGAAGACTAAACTCGAAGGCATGATATAAATGGAAGCCAACTTCTTTGACATGTTCAGCAGGAATTCCAAAGCTGGAGGGCACATCTCGTTGACTATCTCTGAGTCACTCTTCCCGTTGTTATCGGAATCACTTCGGCCACCTTCATAGTTGCCATCGACTTCCGAACCACGTACGAGCAGGAGAAGTATTTGGATACACTGCACAGCAGCGGATGCGAACACCGACGAGTTCTTGTTTGTTAAGAAAGCCGAGAGAATGTCAAGGATTTGATGATGCTTGCGTTCTGTGTTTGAGTCGTTCGAAGCCTTACAAGAAACTTCTGGCATCTTCCTCAAGGAAGAAAATATTGGCCTCCAGCCAGACTTAATGCTGGTCATATGAGTTTCCACCAGTTGAGAAAGGGTTGCTAATATCTGGCGAGAATAAAAAAATTCTTTAGATACTTGGATTTAAATTCGACAAACTGTGGTTTATGCATCTGTTTAGAGCAAAAATAATGTAACCATTACACAAGTAAGAGCAATTTTCAATTAAGTATCGAGAGCAACCCGGCATAGCTTTAGTTTTACTCAACTTTGCTCTGTGATTGATCCAAAAAATTCACGCCATTCTCGCAACCAATCAGAAGCAAATCTTAAAACAATCCCGACTTTTTCATTCGCGTTTTCCCGCAGTTTGCTTGTTTTCACTTTGAAGTCTCATTGGCTAATGACAACGTAAACCGTTGTTCTGATTGATCGTTGAAATTAATTTTGTTTACTCAATTAAAAACTGCTCATACTTACTTGTTCTTGATCGTCTAAACTGCATGACGTCGAAGACAGGATGCCGTCAAATGGTCTCAAAAGGGACTCGTGGAACCAGAAATGAGGGAGTTCAGTGCGGTTGCTCAAAAGCTCCTTCATGATGTCATGAAGGGAAGTAATTGCAAGCTTGGAAATGTGCCTGTCCTTGTGAGTCGCTGCCTGTAGAGATGAACAATGAAAGTAAAGCGACAAACCGAAGGAAGCTTACAGTAATCCAGATCTTCAGTCAAGCTAAAATTTGTTGCGTTAGGGAGCTTGACGCGGTTTTAGTATCATTACGATACTTAGGAAAATTCTTCCCGCAGTTAAGGATAGGATACTAGTCTATTGCAGTAGATGCATGCGGGCTATACTTACCTAAAGAGAAAATACCATGACCTCACCAAGATACTATTAAAGAATTAACACAATCCGGAGTCCAGCTCATAGAAACTTAACCTTCTGCATCCTGACGAGTGACTTGCTTCAGTATCTTGAGTATTACAAATGGGACGTTTTTGAGAAATGATATCATATTCTTAATAATTAAAGAGCAGTACGTAACCAAATTGATACATGCACACCATGTTATTCACAAAGAAGTGGGATACATGCAATGATATATTTTCGTGGTAAAGAGAGTAATTTGTTTCGTCGCGACAGCAAAACCACGCTTTCTTCCACTCGACCCCCCTTTCCAAGCATACACAGTGTTTGAAATATTCAAAACTAGGCAAAAAAGATAAAAAAAAAACAACAACAACAACAACAACAACCTAGTGGTCATTCGGTCATTCTCCTATTTTTGCGCACTAACCTCCTCAAAATGGGGTGCTATCACCGCCCATGCTCTCATAAGATGCAACAGTGGTCTGCTGGTATTGCGGGCGCTCCTGAGTATTACATCCGCCAGTCGATACAGATGAAGAGTTGTGCTCAAAGATGGCGATTGGCCATTTGAAGCAACGGGTGCTCCCCCTGCGGGTGAATTTGAACTTTTTTCCACTACTGAACCAAACAGCTGAGTCTTGGAAGCAGAGACCAAAGCTTCTAGGAAAGACAAAAGCCCTTCTAGGTGCAACGTATTGGCGGCGTGCTCAAAAAGACGATCTACCGCGGCTGAGAGAGCGTAAATGGCGCGGGAGGCGTCCGCGGGAGTTAGCAGTCCGCCGTTGGAGGGTGCGTGTTCCGAACCGTTTTCGGAACTTTGTGGAATAACACTAGAACCATTCGGAGAGAGTTCTCCGGAGAGGTAGTCTGAAATGCTTGAAGATTCTGACATGGGCGAGGGTATGTCGGGGTTTATTCGGAGAGAGTTCGGCGGAATTGTGTGGGACGAAAAGTCTCCAATGCCGTTACTGAAATGCATGCGTTCCAGTTGCGATATGTACGTACAGCATCTATTGAAACAAAGCTGAGGTTAATTCTATTTGTTTATGTGCAATAATCATCCATTGCTAATGACAGATGTTATCTGCGTTGTCAAAAATAAGCTATTGGAACAAGAATTGAAAGGGTGTGTGTTATTGTTGGTCTTAAATTGTAAACGTTTCCAGAAACGCCTTGCAAAAGGATTAAAGCATTGTGAGAGTTTCTCAAAATGTTTTCAAGTACCTGAACACGTGTTTCCAACACTTTGGCGCATGACTGCCCAGTTCTACTCCAACAGCCAGCAGTCCATCCATACTTAAGACATGCGCGGCGTGTAGCTTGATAGTTCCTGGTGAAGAATGTGACCTTGTTCTTTTTGCTTCCAGACCCTCTCCTCCACAAGAGGCATTTGCTAACTGGGCTAGAACCAGTTCACAACGGGTTTGGATTCCTAGCGTGCAGCACAGACGTGCTGCTCGGCGCAGGCCATCCAGGCTGAGGCAGATGGTGTCCCTCTCACGATTTAGATCCCTCTTGGATTCACCTCCAAGCATTGCGGCAACGCTATTTGCAGTACCTACGATTTTAACACGGAAAGGTTGTACATTTATATATTTGCATTTGTAGTGGCTTGGTAAACTGACGCTTTACTCTGTTTCCATGAAAGCATCATTTATTATTCACTACTTATATCACTCTTTCTCCAAGATTAGACTGAAATCGATCAGTTTGAATCCTTCAAGAAAGGTTTTAGTTTCTTATTCAACGTTATTAAGTAATTCCCCAAACAAAATGACAGCAATAACGACTTTCAATATCAAATCATCACTACTGTGGTTGAATAGAAGTTCAATTTTCCTTGTTTACCACTGTGGAAGGACCATGTAGAATACTGTCACTGGAATATAGCTATATCTCTTTGCCACTGGGAAAGAGGTTTGAGGAAAAAAAAAACTGGCACAGGACACTGGCTTTGAATGTGAGCTTCGTAACTCGCACCTCAACACCTCCAAATTATCAACTACAACTTGTGTCTAGTTACGTGTTTTTCTTTTAAACGGAAAGGTCATGCGTGTTATACATGACACTCTGGCTTGGATGTAAGGGCAACTTTGTCCCACGTCATGATATTAATACACTGATTCGATTGATTAATTCATTGATGATTGAAGGATGCAGGTCACAAACCTGAGGTGGAAGTCTCTAAAGGTGCTGACAGAATCTCCAACACTGAGTCCCACGTAGCCAGCAGCAGTCTCCGAGCGAATTTCATCCCTTCTCTCTTGGCAGGCGGCAGGGTGCTTGGGTTCTTGTGGTGAAGGAGGGGACTGTCTTCCTCTTCAGACAACATGTTGTCATTTAGCGTGTTGATCAAAGCACGGTTGCCATCCGGTGAATCCAGTGTGAAACCGGCTTTTCCTAATATGTTATAGGTGGTAACCAGGCGGTACAGCTCAGCCAGCCAGACCGAGGAGAGACCGATAGGCATGCCGCTGTTCAGAATATTATCGATGAAGTCGTCCTTAAATGTCAAGAGAAAGTTGCAAGAATTAGCTCATTGAGTAGTTGTGGTACTTGATTGGTTCACCAAGACAAACAAAAATTCCTGAACTAAACGAACTTCCCTCTGTCTTGTCTTGCACCTTGGCCACGCACACGGACGAAGACAAAATCCTCTAGTATCTTGAATCCCTCGTTCATCCCTCGGTCTCTTGAACCCCCCACCCCCCCCTTTGTTGTTTGAGCCATATTTGGTTAATCACCAGAGAGAGGGGTGGGGGGGGGGGAGAGTGAGGAGGTAGCATTAAATGGCTCCCTTTGTGCCTACACAAGCACATTTACTTTGAATTTATCTTTCTTTGTGTCCTTTGCAGCTATCTTCTTAAGCGATGCTTTCAAAATCCTAACAATTAGATCAAGTTGATGGTTCTATAGATCTGCGTACATTTCCCACGTCTCGAAGAAGACATTATGGAATTTCACAGATTTATTCTTCAAAATGTAACTCTTTCTCGTCAACGTGAAAGCTGTTTCTGACGATTATTTTTCATGGAACCCTGAAACTGAAGGAATCCTGCAAGCATTAAGAATATGGCTGTTTTCTTTCTTACCTGTGCTAATCCTGGCGTTGGTTGCTTCTTCTGATAGTAACCACTCTTTAACAGTTTTAAATTCAGTGTCAACGTAGCGTATACGGTAACATAAACACCATCTGCGTTAAGAATAGGAAAACTAGGATCCGAAGTCGCTCCTTCTCCCGACTTTTCATCGACCAAATCCGATCGTCCACGAAGTGTACCGAAGTTTGGAACGTTCTTTCGCTTGAGTGCCATGCAGGTAACCGCTTCGCAGACATCGGAAGCGAATTGCTGCAAGGCCTCGTCAACAGCTACTGGATCAGACAGACCTAACACAGATGGAAGAATGCCAAGCAAACAACGAGCGAAGTTCCGTGCACCTTCTTTCTCGTTTTCCTCAACACTCTTCTTGACATCTCTTACTTTCTTTTTATCCGGTGACTTGACCGACGAGGAGTTTTCGTTTCCTTTCTTAACATAAACACCGTTGATTTTTACGCCTTGTGATGAATTTTTCTTGAGCGTGTTAGTGGTCGACGGATTAGGTTCGTCTATACTCTGGCTTTTCAGTAGAATTCCCTTCGGCTTATCACCGTTGCCATTCTGTAGTCTACGATCGTATTCCGAAGTCGAACGAGTTCTCCGAAGTGTCGGCCGAGAGCCTTTTGTTGGCGATCGGTCTTTTTCTCTTTCTCTCTCCTCCCTCAAAGCCTTTTCTCTTGCTTCTATTTTATTTGCTTTGGATTCAACATATTTTCTGTGTGTTGGTGATGTTTGTTCCAAGGGTTTTCTGTTCATTGGCTCGACTGTTTTCCCATCATTTGATAAACGCCTTAGGCCGGGCTTAGCATTGAATGACGAATCACTGGAAGACTGCGTGCGTGGCCTCGGTATCCCACCTCTAATGTTACGTTTTTGCTGACTGCTTTTCCTTTTTTCATTATCAGCTGAAGAAATTTCAAAGTTGTCAGTAGTAAGCGCCGCCCAAGAATTTGATTTTCGCAAGGGAAACCGCTGTAAATTAGAAGTGGAACTCTTACTAACTGAAATTTCATTGTCAGAGAAGCATCTTCGTAAAGCAAACTTGCCCACTCTTATAGAGCTGTTTTGCGCATCTGATGCCAAAAGGTTTGTTTTTCTTTCCTGCAGTGCGCCATTATCTGAACCAGCGCGTTCCCGTTGATGCGCATGCCCATTCATGGTTCGTTTTTGCACGGTCGGTTTCTGTCGCGTTTTACTATCAAAAGATGAGGATCGTTTCACAATTGTGCGCATGTTACCTTGGGGACTGGAACCAACTCTTTTAGGGAGGCTGCTCTTACGAGGAATCCCTGATCGCGATGCATTACTAAACCGTGAGTTTTTGATATTCTCGAATTCGTGTGTTTCAAACATGGCGATTTCGTCTTCGGAGGCGAAGTGGACGCTCTTAGGAGTAAGGGGTCTGATTTCAGGTTCTTCATCTGAAACTTAGGAAATTTAAGCTTATTTGTTAACATGTAATATTTTACGTCTTCAGCTGCCCTCAGATTAGAGATGAAATCATACATGAGCGTGCTGTGTATGACATCCTATCAGAGGCACCTCCTCCAACCCCATTCTCCTCCACAGCCGTTGTCATACACATCGTCTCGCGAAGCGTTTTCGGTTGTGTCGAGACCAAACAACGGCTGTCAAGGAGACTACTGATCGAGCTCCCAAATACATGAAAGAGACCAGACTACCGCACTTAGACCTGTTTCCTTCGGTTTTCTTTCGAACAGGATGTAATGTTCGAGCAGAACTGTTTTCATTGGTTTTCCTTCGAACAGGATGCGAATTCGTGTTTCTCAACTTTGATTTGATTTAAATTTTAAATTGTTGAACATCAATGATTACGTTAACCCTAAATAAACCTAGCCATTTTTTTCGAATATCTCGGCCGAAATGTAAAGAAATGTCTTGAAATTAGAAAAAAAAACCTCTCAAGTGGCTCACCATCATTCCTGAGTTCTCCATCCGTAAGGCTGTCCCAGGCCCCTCCGTTTTCCTCAAACCGCTCGGTTAGAGATTCGATATCCCCGTCCGGAGATCTCTGGGAATTAATTTCCCATCGGTTACCACGTCTATAGGCACTCCTTTCTCCATTTACTTTTCCATTAAGAGAATTTCCTGTTTCCCGTGCAGAAGCGGCATTATCGTATTGCTCCTTGAGCAACTCCCAATTATCAGTTTCTTTCATTTTACTTAAAAATTCAATGTGTTCATCACTCAAGCCTCGTCCTTGACTCAAGTCCTCTAAGGACCCCAGCAACGCTACCACGCATGCTACACTACAGCTGGCCACTGTACTGTCGGTGCAGCGAGCGGATTCCACAATGCCATCCATTAAACTAAGAAAAAATTGAATACATTGCTTAGCGTTTTCTTTGAAAGAAGTTAACCTTTCTTAGTAATCATAAATAAACTATCATTCCCAATTTCATTCACCCTGGAGAGAGTGGATAAAGAGCCAATTTACGTGTCACGGTAAAACGGCTAATTTAGTCTATGAATGTACTGATTTGTCACAAGAGGCTTAGCATGGATTGTTCGAGTGCATAAATTAGATTGCCTCAATCGTTAAAAGACAACGATCATCTGCTTGTTTCCCTTTATCATTTGAAGCTTGAAAGCTATAGCTGCACAAGATTTCCCTCAGTGTTAACAGTAATGATGCTAAAAGAAACCAAATTAATTGATATTTAGCAGTGGCACCCGTAAGAAGTAGCTGTTGGTCCACTTTTTTTCCATGCCCAAATTAGAATTTGGATTTTAAACGTTAACGTTTGTTTTCAATCTCTGATCTCAAATGAAACATTGTTCTTTGGAATAATCAGAAATTGCTCTATCAAACACTTACAGTCGCAGCAAATCCAGTTCCGTTTTCTTCTGCTCAGTCGGTGAGTCTGGTGACGGGGGATTGTCTTTGTCAATAATCGTTGGACCAGCGGCATCCAGCAGCCGTTGAGGACTGGAGAGGAACTGGAGATGAAAAGGAAATTAGATTTGATATTCAAAAATATCGTAGTACCTTCACATATGCTACGCGCAAGTGAACTAAGAGGGGAATGGTAGGGGGAGAATGGTTCGTCTCGAGACTGAATAAATTATGTGCCGCTCGCGCTTTGAGACTGATCACACTTGTGACTAACAGGAGCCAAGAACCTTTGCGGCTTCTTCATCTCAAGGACATGATGCGAATTGATATGAGAAAAGAGGAAAAATTAATTAACTCTTTAACTCCCAAGATCTCATTAGTAATTCTCCTTACTGTCTGCCATACAGTTCTTGTGATGTTAGGTTGGAGAATTTGGTATTGAATCAACTTTTAATCCCCATAACAGATATTTTTCCACACTCTCACCACTAGTCTGCTTGATATTTTATTGATATTGTAAGGAGAAATTCTGTCTTGGTCACTTATGGGAGTTAAAGGGTTAAAGGAACGAGGTTTTTTTTTTAGGAAGAGTCTGTTCCATTAGGGTTAACGCAAAACCAATCTTCACTTAATAGCCCGCATGCTCGAGGCAGCACACATATGACGTACGTCCTCTTCTTAAATTGTCAACTTTACCATAATAGCCAGGTATGAACTCACAAACTAATTCACTTTACCTCCTTCAATGCTTTCAGTGCCTCTGCTCTCTGCTGAGCTGGAGGATACAGAATGATGCGATGAAACAGCGACTCCAACACAGGCCTCATGGCGGCTAAGGGACCCACAAGGCGTAGGAGCTCTGTAGCTATGTTATAGATAGTCCTTGGTATGGGTCCTACAACCGACGACGACTTGGCAAAGTTCCCCGTTCCACGCCCTCCTCGGTTGATTTCCTCAGGGAAAGGAGTCACAGTTTTTGGTCGTTTGTTCAGGTCGGTAAGAGGACTCCCCAACAACTGAATCAGGGCGGGGCATAAGAGTTGCCTGAAACGTGAAGAAAAAATGTGTGAGACTTAAGTCATGTAGGACGTATAGCAATCAGAGAAAAGATACTATCCGTGTATGAGGTAGTTCTTCACTCGAGAGAATTTGTGCTTCGGAATTTTAGTGGATATTCAATCCCATTTCCCCTTGTAATTGTCAATCATCCTTACTACTCGTTAGGTTCCTGTGAATATGGCCATGATCCTTTGATCTAAATTTCGAATGGAAAATTTTTGAAATAAGGTAGGGAAAGACTGTCCATTTGTCAGCTTAAAGTATTTATGAACTCACCAGATAACGTTTATAAACTCTTTTTCCTGTTGTAAGGCTGTGGATAGGCTGCTAAGCATAACCAAGATGGCTTCCAGGTACAATGGAATGGCCTGGCCGCCTTGCACCGGTACGCTGTGGAAAAAAAGGACACAGGTAAGTATTTAATCGTATGTCCCACGATGCAGTCATTTTCAATGTGAATCGCGACGTTTCGACTGCATACAACGCTTAGTCTTTTTCAGGTGATGAAGAAAACTTGTTTGGTTGAGAATCGCTAACGAGATTTCCAAAGAAGCAAAGGAGAGTTGAATTGTGTTAAAATCGACTTCAAAAGATTGAAGGCATCGGTCAATTGTGAGAAGATTGTCGAGATGAACTTCAAATAACACTTGCTGAAGATATTCTTAAAGTGTCTATGCAAACATGTCGCCAGTAAAATTATTCACCGTTTTCCGAACAAAACCACAAAACATCCTCAGATTTTCACAGAAAACCCCAATAGTTACCAAAATCTCAAAGAGGAACCGATACCTGAAAAAAGACAATGCTTTCGAAATCTTTAAACGTCACCACCTCAGAGAGTATTCTTAAGATTGTGCGGCGATCTTTAAAGGTGCAAATAAACGAATCTTTTCGGGTGTATTTGGAAGCTGTTTCCGCCATCATTTCACGATTTAGGGCCATTTTTAGATGTAAAACAAGGCCTTTTGGTATCAAAGTTAATCTTGGTACTTATAATTGTACTTATAATTGTTAAAGTACGTACTTCTCTCCGTTTCTTAGTTAAGCAGCCCATCCAAGAAACCTGAAGCGCATTTTTTATGTACTCTGTCATTTTCACGGGTATTTAAAATCTTAAGGGCAACGAAAGGCGAAAAGATTGCGAAAAGAACCAAGATTTCTCGGTTACTTGATCACATCATTTTGGGCCGCTCGTTAACTGTATTAAGTGTCTCATGGTGATATTTACAAGCTAGAATTCATCAGTGATGGAATATTCGATAAACTATCAACAACACGTGTCTTCAAGTATTATCTCCGTCAGTAATCCCATGCTGTGTAGGGCAAAACAAGAAAGAACTGGATGAAATTCCTCATATAAGCCTTTTAACAAGACCCACGAGGTAATAAAAATGAAAATTTGTGCCTACTTTGTCAGTGCAACTGTTATATCCGCATTTTCACCGTTTTCTAACGAAAAAAATTTATCTGATGGTAATAACTTGAAACACGCACAAACGAAATAGTTTTAAAATATTGTTTTTGCTTCTTATTTATGTTACGCCCAAATAATTTGTATGTAGACAAAACAACATGTAAAATAACTTGTTTTTTAGGAAGCTGTTGCAAACTGCTGCATTTTAAGACCAGAGTCGTGCGTTCAAAAACCACGAATCGTGCTATTTTAAGAGCTAAAATTTTAATGTTCTCTACGGGAGAATAACATTGGCTCTTTGTAGGGTGCATGAAGGACAAGTGATTTTCTTTTAAATTAGAAAGATTCTGTGCCTAAAAAAACCTAATTAAGTTGGATAAATATTGGATGTTTTATTTTAAAGAGAACTAAATAGGCAAGAAAAGTTTCATTAAAAATTTTTAATTTTCACTGCAGATTTTTTGACACGATGCAGTCTTACTTTAGAAATTCCGAAGCGAATATCGTAATTCCCAACTGTGATTTAAGAAACTTATAAAAAAAGATTAGAAAATAGCTACTACAAATTTTACTTTGTATGCCAAGGGAAAATCGACTCTGTAGCCTAATTCTATTGCTTTTTGGTTTTCATTTCAAAGTTCCCACACTTGACCTCTTTGCACTGATTTTAAGGGATATGAAACCACATCACTTCTTTGGATATCATGGGGGTTAAAAGTATTCTATTTGTTTTTGTGTAATTTTATCCGGAGATCAGTTCTTCTTGACCTGCAAAGGGAAAATCTCCTTACCTAGGTCCTGCGGTCAGTCGGAAGCAAAAGTGTTTCAGTAACAGCACCACATCTTGGCTCAACAACTTGGCATGGTCCGTGGAAAAAAGATTCGTGTCTGCACGTAAAAAGTTAAAGATAAGCAGGTTACCCGGGTCCCTGTCGATTTACGCCAGCTGCAGCTAAAGACATGCGCAATTGAATAATTCTATCATTGTTTATTATACAATTATCATGACTTACGTTTGATGATCTTGGAGTCCGACGAGGAAGTTTTAGATGTCTAAAAAAGATTTATAATACACTGTTATATGCATTCTATGTCCTCCTTCCAAATGGGATGTTACCCCACAACAGGAACCTCAGGATTTTCGCAGGTTACCTTGGGTTACCGTTTTCAGAAACCATTTATATTTCTGGGTAGAAAAAGTCACCGTGAGACTTAATTGTCTTGCCTAAGAACTTAGCTCAGTTACCCGGCCAGGGATTGAACCCAGATCTCTAAATCCGAAGCCCAGTCTAGTTGAATAGTTACTAACCACGGCACCTTTGCACCTTTCCACAGTTAGTTTAGTTTAACCGCCCTAAATTTCACCTAAGCATTCCATTCGGCTTTGAAATTGTCTCACTCAGTCCAGTCTACACACTACTGAAACGCAAACTTTGATGGCGATCAAAGCCTTACCAAAGGAGTTGCTATGCTGTCCTGCAGGCGATGACACACTGAGCTAAGCATCTGTGTTAGGGTAGCTCTGCAAGCTGTCTTGGTGGCGATTTGATGTGCACGGGTGTACGTCTCGATGCATATCTACGAATAGGGAGACATGAGTGAACCTGCGGTTTGGTTTAAGGTCGTGTAAGTATTGTACGCTAGAACTGTCCGTTTAAAAGTAGAGACAAACCTTTTCGGAATACTTACAGTACTTTAACCCTTTAACTCCCAAGATCTGACTGTTATTTCTATCCCCTAGCTGCTACACATTTCCTTGTATATTAGTTGTGAGAATTTGGCGTAAGATTAGGATAGCAACTTCTACCTGATAATTTGGAGTATTCTCATGACCTGTTTGCTGGATAATGTATGGATATTATAGGGAGAGGTTTCATGTTAATCACTTCTGGGAGTTAAAGAGCGAACACTTTACCTCAGCCAGTTTAATCAGATATTCTCCATGAACTTCACACGACGCGGAACAGGTTATGATCAGCAGCAGCTAATGAGGAATAACAACAGAATAAGCCCAAATCAAATGCATACTATCTGAAATAGGGAGGTTATTTTGGAAAAGGAAATGTCAACTTTTATTTGTTGTTAGATAAGCTTAACTCCAGTTGTGTTTTTCACATCGTAAGCGTTCCGTGATTTATGAACTAAATATATCAAATCAAATCTAACGCGCAGTATTTATTTGTCAAATGCTCTTGGACTCTTCACCGTTTCTTGTTCATTCCTCTGCATGCAGGTATGAAACTATTTTACTCTGACACTCCACTAACATACTGTTGCGGAAACCATTTATGGTATAGATACGGACTGCAAGTGTCAGTTAGGAGCTTAATATATTCAGCGTAGGGGGTCGCATTTAGCGGCCAATCTGCCACTGCAAAACTTTTACACATCGTAAACTTTGGTGAGTATCTGTCTCAGAGCTCGCCGAGTTTCAGGTAAGAAAAATATAGGAAAATTCTTAGAGAGTTTACCTGAATCAGAAAACGTTGACTAACCTTCATAACTTCGACCTGGACTTCGTCTGCCAGTGTAGGAGTGGACGCTACTGTGGCAAGAAACTGAACCGGAAGCTGACTTTCAGGGTCTTCTTCATTCTCCGACCGAAAGCGGTCATCAGAAATTAACTTCTGAAACGGGACCGTTGACAAACGAGTCAGAACAGTAGTCTTATAATCTATTACCAAGATCCGTCTCTTGCAGAATCCCATCGCTTCTGCCGTGGGAGATTGGACTACAATTTCAAGGTAGTTGCCCCTTGATTTAAGACACACTTGATTTAAGCCGCCTTTTTAATTTGAATATAAGCCCCAAAGAATTGGATTGCTTTTTCTGATGTTAAAAAGCAAATGCGAATGAAATCTAAGCTAAAGGTTTTCGAGTTGGTTAAGGTATTCCCTATACTAATCGTTTTCGGTCACTTTATCATAGTTAAGTTCCATATAATCGTCCGGATGGAACAAATCGACCAAAATAATGCTCAAGTGATCGGGACGTTTAGAGAAAGTTTCAATTGAGAAAAGCAATCCGTGACTGCTTTGGGTTTTCTAAACATCGCCATGGCTTTGGTCCAGAAAACACGCGCCATCCTCTCAACCAATAAGATTCCAAACTAAAACCAACGCGTCTCAGTCGCTCGCGCTTCAGGATTGTTTTTACTTTTAACAACTTTATTTTTTTATTATTTTTTTAATTTTTTTTTCGCGCAAAATATCAGGATACAGACAATGATTTGCTCGAAATAACCTAAGAGTTAAAAATGCCAGGCAGCCAAATTTAATTCTCATTGGTTCCTTTTGATATTTTTCTTGCTTCTGATGGGCAGTTGTAATTACTCAATGGTTTACGATAATCAATAGCCTGTGAGCAGGCTCTCATTATAAGTACTTCGGTGCGAGCGTTTCTTTGTCAGCGGGAAACTAAGGCGAGCCGGCGACAGGTTAGTGCCAGACCCCCGGCAAACCACTCCCCGACTCGTCTTGAATCTTCCCTGTTGTTATTTGAATTTGTATTTTCAAACAAGAGGATAGCTTTCTCCATAGCAGAGAGCTTTTTGCGTAGCGCTATTTACATCGACCATCATGTTATCCTATTCGATATTATCGAGTATCAGCAGTTTTTCGTTCAACAAAGTTAAATGAAAATTAAATTTTGTATTGTTCTGTCATTGTTAGATAGGCAGAATCTATTGGATACATTCTGTCGTTGCCGTTTTAGTCTTAAATTTTGGTTCCATCTACAGCACTGTGTTAGAAATTGTTGCCTTTTGTTATTTTTTTCTAAATCGACTTTCGAACTCCAGAAATACAGGTTCAAAGTACAGGTAATAACACTACGATCCACTGGTGTTAAAAACCGGGTTATTTGGATCTTTCTCCTTTGACGAAATCCCTCTCATACCCATGGCGTGCGCTAAGATTTTCCTTTAACGGATATTATATTGAGTTGTAATTCCATTGTTTAGATTTGTGAGTTAGGAAAGTAGCTCTTGAACTAATTTGGTTGGCGTACAGTGGAACTAAACGGCGATTTCGATGAACAAAAGAACAAAGCTTTCGTCCTTGTTGGAGTTCACAGTAAACAGCAGGTCCTAAAACGACGGGAAAGCTTAAAATCAATTTCGGTTCTGGTATCTTACAAGAAAACCTCGTAAAGTTTACTTTAATGATTGAATTCGACCAGGTTTGTTTTCATTCGACCTCTCTCACAGTGTACCACGCGCAGCGCGACTTTTGCAGGGCGAACAAGAATATCAAAAATCAAAACAACCAGCGACAGTTTCAATTTATCAATAAATTTCATAGATTCAACCAAAGTTGCTTTTTCTAAAGTCCATTTTTCCTTCAGCCTTAGTAAACAAGAACTGTTTGAAAGAGCATAACATGTCAATATAGCGACAGTTTACTGCTGATCTATTCCACGAGGACGTGATAAATTATTCATTTATGGAGTCAAAGCGAGGGGAGACGATACATTTTTCTCAAAATTTGCCAGAGTTTATTTTACCTCAGGAGAAAATCATCAACACTTTGGCAAGAAAATGTAAATGGATATTTTTAATAAAAGGTTTATTTCGCAAAAGTCTCTTCTTGACTACAGCAAGTAATTAGCACGTATAAAAGTTATTTGCCTGTTTTAAAACGCGTCTTAAAAGCACTCCTTGTACGGTGTCAAAAGCTAACAGAAGCTAACATCTAATGAAAACCCATTCAAAAAATTGCTCCCTTACCTGTCGAAGAAAACCTTTCTACTCTGAGAGTATAACTGTTGATTTCTTTAATATACGTAAAAAAGGACAGTTTTAAGGGAAGTTTAAAAATTATTAAAAATCAATTTACCCTCTTGCAAAGTAATTATAATTCTAGAAAAAGTGATCGCTGTAAAAAAGCTGTTTTAATGAACATTCTCTGCCTCGAAGATGACATTTTTTGTACTTATTCAGTAAGTACAAACGAAAAGTGATACAGACATAGAAAGAGTGTGTTGAATCAGAATTAATCAGCTGGTTAAATAGTTGCAGGAGAGTCTGTCGTTAATATGCAGTAAGATATTGTGTGGAGAATAGCTTGAGAGGCCACGTCCTTTACGATAATTAGCTTCACATATTTCTGTGTCTACATTCGTATCGCAGTCACCGCTATTTTGTTATGGCAATTTATTGCTCACGAAAAAACGCCAAGCTTAGAGATATCGGCCATTCTAATCAAGGCGCAATTTTTAATTCGCACGCAACTGATTAATATTCGAGATGTTATTTTGCTTTGAATAATTCGGCGTTGTGATCGTAATTAAAGTACTTTTTTTTTACAGTATGGCGATTTCATTTTAAGAACGATTTGATTTTATCATCCGTAGAATTGCTTTGATTTTCAACTCCTTTCATAAAATTCGCTCATTAATTAATCAAGTCCATCCATCCATTGACCGTGCAAAATAAACGTTTCTACATAAATTGGCCCCGAAAAAAACTAAGCATCCACTAACCTGCAATCCATTTACAGCGTGTAGCGAAAACTTGCTCGACCTCGACTCTAGCGCCAGTTTGAGCGGTAGAAAACACTTTTCCCTGAGAAGAAAGAAGTCAATGATATTTACATGCAATTTGATCAAATAGTGGTATCCATTTCCTACCAGTTAAAGCCGTTTTATAGAAAAAAAACGTCTATTCTCTGGGACTTACCGAAGCTCATGGGGCTGGAGTTTACGTGTCCCATTTCGATTGATGAAAAGCGCATCTGAAAAATCCAAAAACTCAATAAATCAGCGAGTTTTTCGTAGCGAATCGTTGGCGACTTTCTTCAAATTGCACGTAGCTTACCCGTCGCCGAAATACACGCGTCTCGTAGGTTCTTTGCTTTACTTGACGTGGCGTCGTGCGCCAAACTAGACAACACTTCCTCCATGACTCTCTAACCCATTAGACAAACTACGAAGGGGGAAACATTCAGATCTGTGGTGATTTTTCCCTCATAAACCGCAAAATCATCTCCTCAGAAGCCTTTGAAGTCACAATATTTTGATTGAGCAGGTCGTTAGCGCGTTCGTGGAACACAATTTAAACAATGGAAAAGAGAAGGGCATAACCGATGCGCCGATTACGTGCGCAGTGGTGTGTGCAGATGAATGGCTTTACTTTTGGCACCTGTGTGCTGTCCTATCAGTCACATCCTTATAAGGAAAGTGCACTCATACCCGTAACTATGGAAAGTTGGTGCGGCTACGAGACTGTTGAGTGTACAACTTTGATATTTTTAGAAGCAAGTGTCCGAGTATCTTCCCGAAAGGATGCCCTGCTTCGAATCGCCCAGGATATATGAAATAGATTTCCAAACTGACCTCGTTTATTCGTCACCAACACAGCCGCGTGCCTGGAAAAACAGAGAAGTTTTGCTCGATTGAACTAATTTGTAAAGCAAATTTTCTGATGGCACGGTGTCTAGATACACGTTTAATTTTATATGCAAAACAAAGACAAGAGGAAAGATCTCATTACAACAAACGAGTGTCCATAAGGCATATCTCCGCTAAAGTAAGCTCCCTCTAGTTGGTCTTCTTAATCCCTCTTCAAGAACATGTTTGCATTAAATCAGTTTTTAATTTAGTGTCAAAAGTCATACAGGTTGCTTTAGTTTGGCCATTCTTCGCTTCATGATTGGTCTATAAAATTCGCGCCACCATCTCAACCAATCAAATGTAAAACTAAAACCAATGGCGACTTGGTCCTACACGTTTTCCCGCGCCTCAAGCAGTTTGCCTGTTTTTTTGTTTTTGTTTTTTTTTTTACTTTTAGTTCTAATTGCCTAGTGATGATTCTAAACTTTAATTAATTGGCCGTTGTAATTACTTTGGTTTTGGAAACCGCTTAGTACCTAACCCTGACAAAATTTTTCTTAGTTCCTATAATAGAGGAACAACTTTATGCCAATGGTTCACACATTGATTCCCTGGTAAGTAAGTTTTTTGATTGTATTCAGGTCGGGACCGTTGAAGACCTATTTAGGAAGACTTCCACAAGAAAATTAATTCTAATTTTTTGAGTAAAAAAAAAGAAAAAGAAACAAAACGAAATACCCCGCATTTACAACAAATGCAGATTATTCTGGATTGAACATCACATAATTTAGGAATATATAAATATAATCATCGCAAGAAACTGTAAATTTCTGCAGAAAATGTGAATGACACGATGCTTTTTTAACTCAGCCGCAGGTATCCCTCATTAACCTCTTAACTCTCATGAAGCAATTGTTCGTTCTCCTCTCTAGCTGTTATACATTTCCATGCAAACTGGTTACGAAAATTTGGCGTTAGATCAATGTAAATATATACCTGTTTGCTGGTTAATATATGGGTAATATGGGGAAAAGTTAGTTGCCAATCACTCCCAGACGTTAAAGGGTTAACACAACTTAAATACTGGCTCATGCGATTTCAACCAAATTAACAAAGCGGAAAATTAAATTAGATGTTCTTCGTCCTCCTCCGATAAAAACTGACTGATTGTATATTTTGGCTCTAGAATAAACTTATCGCAGCTTTTTGCCTACATTAAAATTCACAACAAAAAAAAACTACTTGAGTAATCAAAGAAAAGCTAATTTTTTTGTTACAGGATTTGCGCATTCCTTGCTTTATGGTTTACATGTACTCACTTTTGTTCAAGTCATATTCAACGTTAACTGCAAAGATAAAATGATGTAGGTTACTATACATCAGGTTGAAAACTCATCCTCATTGGAAAATTCTTAACATAATGAACATAATTTTGAATAAAGAAGGTCCGTTTGGAACAGTTGGTTTGGGCAGACTTCTCGCCATGGTGCTCCAAATTAACCGACTAAAATTTGCATAGCACTGCAATAGTACTATTTTTGCTATATATTTTGTACGATATCGAGGTTTGCTGTAATTATAACCTCGAAATAATTTCAGAACTATCGCTAAAAGTTTTTGACCTCACGTTAGGTCGAACGTCTCCGAAAAAATAAAGAACATCATCATCAACAAAATCAATAGGAAAAGTTTCATCTTGATCTTAATCAGTTAATGATTTCTCGATGTTTGCTGAAAGCTATGACTGAGCATCAACAACTGCATGTTACTCTCAAAATGCCGGCTTAAGTGATAAAACGTATATACACCATCAGAAGGATAGTTAATGTTTTGGATTCGATGAAAGATTGTTTTCGTTGCTCAGTTCAAAGGTATAACACCTTTTTATAAGTCCAGATTGACGTCATCTCCGAGCAGAACAAATGGTGCCCACTCATTGAATCTGTACCTCTTGGAATCTCTCATCCACTTCATGGTCTGTTGAAGAGCCTCACTGGCACTCAGTTTATCGCGCTTCAGATGTCCGTAGAAACGAATCATGAACTCTTTCGTGGCTATGTCATCCACGGCCCACAGAGTAACCAGCACTGAGCGAGCTCCCGCTGCTAAAAAGGCGCGGGAGATACCCACAACTCCCTCTGATTTCATAATCTGTCCCCTACCACTGTGACAACAGCTGAGTACAACCAGCTTCGCTCGGGTACCAACTTTTGCGACATCTTCCATGGTAAGCATGAAGTCTTCCTTACTTGGAGTTCGTCTGGATGGAAAACTTGAGGCAAGAGCAATTTCCCCTCTTTCTGGATCACCATGGGCAGCAATGTGGATCAAACAGACATCTCGAATCCGTCGGAGAACCTGTTTTTTGGTGGCTTCATCTCCTACTGTAGCCGACACACCCAACAACTCTGCAATTTCCAGTGCTTCTCTTCTTGCTCCTGGCAATGACGATAACTTTGTTTGGGGGGGAACAGAGGGATTACCAACGATTAACGCCCCAGTTGCACTGTGATAGTCTTCAGGACTGTCCTGGATCATCCTCAGTGCTGTTAGTGATGGAATCAGACGGATTCGGAAGGTCTCTGACAAGAATTTGTCGTTGCCATCACATAATGCGCAAAATGGCACCATGAAATCCTCACCTTCTGGGATGATGATGATGTCTTGACGATGAACAAGATCAGCAACAGGGGCGAAAATATCATCATACCATTGGTACAAGATAGTATCCTCCTTTCCATCCTCTTCCTCTTCTTCTTCCATGAGACGCTGCCTGCGTTTGTCTTTTTTTTCACGCGATGATTGTTCTAATCCATAGTATGCCGACAATGAGCGATCTTCACATTCAGGCACAGATTGTCCTCTCAGCAAACTCGTGAGCAAGTCAGTGGTGTCCTTTAACACTTTAGATTCCAACAACTTAAATTGAATTTCTCCACCCTTCAAAACCCAGAAATACTTTTCAAACCGATGCGTAGCCATGAAGAGGATCGTACTTCGGTTCTTGATGGAAAGTTCCCTGACAATGTTCGGAAATAATTCGTGCGAGTTGTTCCTTTGGATGCCATATTTCTTGGACAGTAAGTCGGCAAGAGCTCGAGCACGTCCACGCTCTAAAGTACACAACGCCTCAGCAAATTGTTTTTGGCTGATTCGAAGCGAACATAATTCGTAATAGCTAGTGAAGGTTACGTTGTCCAAAGAAAGTTTATGTTCGTCTTGAAGTAGTTCGCGGTTCTTTTCAGCGCAAGTGATACTCTGTGAAAAGCAATCATGTGCCTTTTTTAGTTCTCCTTCCCTCTTATTAAAAATCCCTAGCAAGGTAAGAGCCTCTTGTTCTTTTCCTTTATCTCCAATTTTTCTCGTTATCTTGAGTGCCCTTTTCAGAAATTGTCTTGTTTTCTTCAGATTTCCAAACGTCGTGTGCAGGCATCCAAGATTAATCAAAGCTGTCGCTTCGCCACGTTTATCTCCAATTTCTTGCATTAGAGAAATTCCTAAATTAAAGTTTTCAACAGATTCGGTATGTCGACCACAACACATATAGCAGAACCCGAGTCCTGCGTAGATTGTGGCCTCGTTGCTTTTATCTCCAGTCTCTTTTGCTAAAGCACGAGCTTTCTTTAGATACATCTCTCCTTTTTCAGTGTTTCCTAAACAAACGAACACATCGCCAAGACCTTGGTAGGAATTTGATTCGACTCTCCTATCCCCAACCGCCTGACTGCATTTAATGGCTTCCTGATAACTTTTCATAGCTTCCTTTTTGTGGCCAATTGTGTTGTAAGACCTTCCCAGCGCGGCGAAGGCTCGACCCATTTCGAATCTACGTCCAGTTTCCACTAGGATATTTACCGCTTTAACCTGGTGTTTTATGGCATCAGCGAACTGACCGAGCGAAGTATAGCACAGGCCAAGACCGTGGTGGGCTTTGCCTAGTGCTACTTTGTCTCCAAATTTTTTCATAATTTCATGAGTTTTTTTGAAATACTCAAGTGCTTCGCTGTATTTACCGATTGCATGATAAGTAGTGCCGATGTTGTTATAGGAAACACCCACATCGACTTCTTCTCCATGTTTAATCATCAACTCAAGTGACTTGAAATGGTATTTGAGAGCCTCGCCAAAATCATCCTTCTCTTGGTACATCATTCCCAGAGCTTGATACGAGTATCCTTCTTGTTTGCATTTGCTCATTTCTTTGAATAAGTCCAAGGACTTTCCTGGGCATCTGGTTGCTTCTGGATAATGAGCGAGGTGTTTGTGTCTGCTTCCAAGCATATCAAGTATCTGTCCTTCCATTTGTCTGTCACCAATCTCTCTGCAGATGTTCAACCCGTCATTGTAACAGTCGATGAATTTATCCGGCTTACCTAGATTGTAATAAGAATCACCCATTTCTACATAAGCTTCTATTTCTGCTCGTTTGTCCTCAGTTTCTTTGACAATTTGAAGAAGTTTTCGTAAAAAGAAAATCGACTGCACGTGTTGACCCATAAAACGGTGCATTTTACTGATGCCTCTGTACGCTTTTACTTCCCAGTCTCTATTCTGAACTTCTTCGTTGATTTTTAAAAGTCTTTCGTAGCAATCCAATGCTTCCTTAAACTCATTTACACAACCGTAAGAAAGTGCTAATTTATAATGCAACAAAATTTTAGGGTCGCTACCATGTTCGACTTTACTTCCTTTCAACAAGACTTGGGCCTCCTTGTACATATCAATAGCGTTGTGGTAAAGATGACTGTTGAAAAGAAAGTCTGCTACACTGCATGTGACGAGGAATTTCTCCATTTGGATTTATCCGAATCTGTGGAGAAGGTAAGAGAAAATTAGCCCTTCACCACACCGTGATTTCCTCAGCAGCATGAGAGTGTGACCATTTACGAGATAAAGTGAGTCCTACACGCCTTTTGATCGGTTCCTACTCATGTTCTATTAGAGGACAGATGCATGGAGGACGTCATTATTAACACATTTTTTTTTTATCAAATAAACGAAGCAAGTCAAAATGTAATAAGAACGTCAGTGACACACTTGGCTGCGCCTTGTTTGCCACTTTTATTTCTTACCACACGATTACGTCATCTGTGTTCTATTTCTTAGCAGATACACGGCAACATGGAATCGATTTGTCGACTTGTTAATCTAACAATGTTCACAGTAGCCAGCAGTTTATTGTCTAAACACTTAAAATGAAACACATGGGACTCCACCTCTTGTTTGTGAATAAGAGAGGACCTGGTTAAAAATTATTGCTCGTTTCTGAACATCAATCGTTTCCCTGTTTACCGTCTTTTATCTCCGTCACGAATATAGTAGTAGTCGTTTAGTAACCCTTTATTAAACCGAAACTAAAATATAGCAAGTCACAAGTGGATTATCTGATCATCTGCTTATCACTTTCTTTCCCATGATAGATGCATTATCAAGCGTGGGGTTAAGATGGCTGGATATTGGCCGAGCTCCACGAGACGAAGTCGAGGTCCACAAAAACGCAAAAAAAGGACGAGGCCAATACCCAGTTATCTTTATCGCAGAAGCTTGGTCACTAAAGGATTTATTTTAGAGCAAAAAGATTTCGCCTTATTAAGAATCAAGAACGACTTGTTATTTCGAGAGCCGGGATTCATGGCATATTGTGTTTGTGGCACATTAGACCACGATAATCGTTTATGTTCTCTTTGTTTTGACTGTCTTCTGCCACTTTTTTGCGACTCCATCGCCAACATTGTCCAAAAAATGTGAGCTTTGAAGGGCCGTTTCACGCAATGTTGAACTTGCGCGGGATCAAAGTGCGCAATCCCAAGTGGGCGAGATGGGCCCATCTGGCCTGCTCGGGTAGCCAATCAGAACGCAAGATTCGCCTCATATTGCCCACGGGCGCTGCTGGCGATATAGTAAATATAGGCATACATACGTCACGTCATATCACATCACGTATGCAAAGAGTCTTTGGTTTCAACCCCTGTCAAGTTTTTTTGAGACGTACTTGGTCAACATTTCTTCTCATGTGAAACTTTTTAAAATGTTATTTTTCAGACGTAGCTAAAAAGTGAATTCGAGAACTTGTTTCCGGAGCTTTGGTAAGGCAAGTTAAAGTGTATCTTCAATTGCCGACTGCAGACAACCCTGTCAAGTCACTCCCTTTTCGAACTTTTTTCCAGTGATACAGACATTGCAATTTTCTCGTAATACAATCATTGAAAACAGGTGTAACGGGATAAATGGTTTAACACGAGGATTGCAGATACTATCTTCGATTTTATGCGACTTTAACATTTTTTTCAGCGAGGGACAAATCAGTGACTCGTTATCAATAATATTTGCGACTGACGTTCTTCCACGCGTCAACTATATTCCTTAGCGAGACGAACAGCTTCCCGAAAGGTCTCTATGGATAATAATTCTCTGATGCAATACGAAATCCTATCCTATCACAAAGGTCATTTTTCCATGTCTCATTGTTTACTTTGAAAACGCTTTTCCCTTTACTCATTGCAAAGATCATTAAAAAGTGGTACATTCACAGTACAATCACAAGGCACCGTAAATGACCAAAATGCCTCTCGCATCATCATGTCCCTCGACTGATTTTGCAAAGGTTAACAAAGGGGACAGAGAGGCCAGGGAAAATAAATTGTTTATGAATGGAAAGTTTTTGAGCCTGAAGGCTGTCCATTTTACATAGATTAAAAAGACTAACTCGATGAAATTGCAAATAGTTTTTGTAGGGCACTTCCTCTTTCCAGATCACCCTGCCCGAAGATGAAATACAGTTTTTCACCAGCGATTGTTTGACCACTGATCAATTTAAAGGGTATCTGGTAATTTCGCCAACGAGTGATTTCGCCAACGTCACGTTCGCCAACGTCTTAGGTCGCTTCGCCAAAGCCAAAAGTCGCTTCGCCAACGTCCTACTGGTCACTTCGCCAATGTATTAGTTTACTCTAAATAAAAATTTACCGTTACTTCTTCTTGCTTCTGTGTGTTATTTACTTGACTGAGCTGACTTGATTTCCCCGTTCGAACTTAGTTTCCTTTCGTTATTTTGTTCGGACTTAGTTTCCTTCTCTTGTACGCGCAACTTAAAACACAGTGGGCCCACATAAATGCACGGCACGCACGCGTCACCGGCGCTGTATGTTGCTGAATTTAACTTAGAGCAATAAAGTCGCATGTGTGCAACCTTTTCCTTAAGTTCTTCTATAGAGTTTATTTGTCGATAACAGAGATTTATATAATTACCTTTGAGACTTCTAGAACAGAGATTTATATAAATACATTGTAGACTACTACTACTACTAATTCTATAACTCCAGCGCATATTATAACTTCGATCAAGAGTATATAAGTATTACAAGAAACACAATCAAGAAACACAAATACCAGCAATAATGTTGTTTAGGTGATGCAACTGACCCGTGAGGAAACAGCATTTTTTCTGACGCTTGTATATTACCATATGAATAGACGCGTAAACTCATTGTGTTAAAACTTGTCAATTTTACCCTATTGTTCTAAATAAACTAATCCAATTATTAACATTCATTGCCATAGAGAAGGATCAGTCCCCATTTTCTTTTTCGCGTGGCCGCTTTCTGCCGCTTTTTTATTCTGATATATTAAATCTGAAGTATAGAAGAGAAGATAATTAACAACTTTGAAAATTCATATTGGAAAAGAACACATCAATAACATTTTCTTTTTACGCTTTCTACACACACTGAATTTCTTCTGAATTTCAGATTGATTGTAAGAAAAATGACTTACTGGGTTGTTCTTTTATATCCGGGTGCTCCAGAATCTAGTCCACCTAATGCCCCAGCTCTCAGTCAGGCAGGTCACCGTCGACTTTGAGAAGGCAATTTGGTCGGCCATCAGAGAAGTGCTCCCTACTGTAAAAATTCAGGGATGTGTCTTTCACTGGACACAGGCCGTCTGGAGGAAGGTGTGTATTGCTTACTGAACTAGCGTGAAGTAAGCTGAGAATCAGAAGGTTTTGTAAATAGGTTTTGACTAAAGCATTTTTTTGAATCAGAAGGTTTTGTAAATAAGTTTTGCATTGAAAATATTTTGTGAATCAGAAGGTTTTGTAAATAGGTTTTGACTAAAACATTTTTTTGAATCAGAAGGTTTTGTAAATAAGTTTTGCATTGAAAATATTTTGTGAATCAGAAGGTTTTGTAAATAGGTTTTCCACTAAAATATTTTGCACTTGTAAATATTTATAAAAGTACGTATTGTTATTAAAATGTTGTTGATATTATACATGTTATATTTTATTTCTGACTCGTTTTGAAGGCTGGAAAACAAACTCTGATTGTTTCTGAAAAATGTTAACTCGTTAATTCACATCGTAACGCATTTTTCAAGTAAAATTTTGAGTTATACATTTTTGGAACACATTTGGAAGCCTTCGGAGTTTGTTATTCAACAGTTTTAAATTACCGCGATGTTAGTGCTCACACGCCGGCCTTTTCTGGATCTGTCAAAAATATGCAAATTGTTTGGAAGTCAGCCAAGCGAAACTAGCATTAATTTAAAATTGTTCTGACCCAAGCATCAGCATTACATCCGAAGCATCAGTAAGCACCCTTTTTACTAAGCTATTACTAAGTTATTACTAGATATTTGGCGTTGGCGAAGTGACCAGTAGGACGTTGGGCTAAACTTCAGAATACCCCGCAACTCATTTCCGCCTCACTTTCATGTGTCGGGAGGCTTTGAAGATCGAGGCATAACACAATAGACGGCTTAAACTATTTTGCGAAACGAAACGAAACGAAACGAAACGAAACGAAATGAAACGAAATCGGGTCAGATGAAATAAAACAAAAGGAATAATGCAGATATATTTTCTAATAAGGTAAAGATAACTTTCACAAGGATTTTGGAGTAATCGTTCATTAACAAGAAGGATTTTTATTCATTTCGCAAAATAGTAATTTTAGGAGAGTTACTATTTTGCGAAATGGACTATTTTCACCCTGCGGTGACAACGTGACCTCTTTCATGTCGCGAAAATACATTTAAACATTACAAATTAGTATATCAACGAAGATTTTGGCCTCCTCTTATTTCTTAAACCGTATTGAAATATATTTCGCAAAATAGTAATTTTAGGAGAGTTACTATTTTGCGAAATGGACCATTTTCACCCCTGCGGTGACAACGTGACCTCTTTCATGTCACAAAAATACATTTAAACATTACAAATTAGTATATCACCGAACATTTTGGCCTCCTCTTATTTCTTAAACCGTATTAAAATATATTTCGCAAAAAAGTAATTTTAGGAGAGTTACTATTTTGCGAAATGGACTATTTTCACCCTGCGGTGAGAACGTGACCTCTTTCATGTCACGAAAATACATTTAAACATTACAAATTAGTATATCACCGAACATTTTGGCCTCCTCTCATTTCTTAAGCCGTATTAAAATATATTTCGCAAAATAGTAATTTTAGGAGAGTTACTATTTTGCGAAATGGACTATTTTCACCTCTGCGGTGACAACGTGACCTCTTTCATGTCACCAAAATACATTTAAACATTACAAATTAGTATATCACCGAACATCTTGGCCTCCTCTTATTTCTTAAACCGTTTCAAAATTTATTTCGCAAAATAGTAAATGGACAATTTTTACCCCTCAATAACTTTCTTTTCGGGTCACAAAAATACGCTTAAACATTTCATTATAGTATATTCTCGAAGAATTCGGTCACCTCCTCTTTCTCTATCCAGATATAATTAATTTCTCAAAGTAGTAATGTCAGAAAAATTACTGTTTTGCGGAATAGCTAGGCTATTTTCACTCAGCGATAACGATCTTGTTATTCTCGTGCCATACAATAGGTTTTCGGTAAGTTTCAATTTAAAGCACTATCAAATCTCAAAAGGTCTAAGCTATCTTCACCTATATAAACGTCTTCTAAGTTTATTTCGCGAGGCAGTAATTTTGGAAGAATTACTGTTTTGCAAAATGGACCATAAATGATTTAAATGCCGCCTGAGAAAACTGACTCGTGACAGATTGGGTTTACAGGTCTCACCTTTCCTTGTATGTAAGTGTTTTAATTAGCTGTGGTCTGTACTTCTTCACTGCCAAGCAACAAGGCGGTGTTTTCCTTTCCTCAGCTTCAAATGATTAAGTAAGAGCCAATTAATAATTCATCTCAATTAACATGCAACAAGAGGTTTGGGCTAACAGGTTCATTTAATCAAAATCGACAACTGTGTAGTGCCGTATTGCGTGACGCCGAAACCAAGTCAAGAGAGCCCCGCTGAAGGCCCAAACCGAGGTTGTGTTCAATTAATGACATGGGAGGGAGCGGAAAGTAAGAGGTAAAAGCCGTCTTTACTAGCGACGGAGCTATTCTAGGGGGAAGTTGAAAGACTCCATTTCGTGCGTTTTGAAGGGTGTGCACTGTTTCGGTGCAAAACCAACATGACAGTTTTCCAGTGGCGGCTAAACATGTTTAGACTCTCCGTCTATCCGCATATCCATGCCGAAATAGTCGTCCAGCAGTTTTATAATCGCAAGTAATACAGTTACTTTGCTTCAAAATTTTTAATAAAAATAATATACATGGAAAAGTTACGCGCTTCTGATTACACCCCCGTCGCACACCTCTTCCTTACGAGCAAGAGATCGTGTTTCGCATTTGCGCAAGTTCCACGTGCTGCAAGAAGTTTGCTTTCTGCTCGCTTTGTGTGCTGCTAAATCAGGCGAGATTATGGCTTTTAAATTTCCTGTTCTTAAGCCCAAGACCATCGACTGTTCAGGTCTTCCAGTTCATGATTTCAAGTGTTTGACAAACAAGGAAATCATTAGTAAGGGCGCTTATGGTGCTGTGTTCACTGTTAACTGGCAGACTGTTCCTGATGCGGGTGGGAAATCGGCCGCTGCGGAGAAAGTCGTCGTTAACAAATTGCTCGGCGAGGACATATTGGATAAGAAAACGTTTGTAAAGGAAGCAAGAATCATTCAAGAGTTGAAACATCCAAACATTGTGAAGTTCAAGGGAATCTGCAACAATCCCTTCGCCCTTATTCTCGAGTTCCCGCCCGCCGAGTGTAAATAATCCATTTCGCAAAATAAACATTTTTCGGAATTACTACATTCAATTAGTTTAGAAATGACTACATTAAACAGGAGGTGACCAAGATCTTTGAGAATATACTATAATGTAATGTTTAAACGTATTTTCGTGACATGAAAGAGGTCACGCAAAATAGCAACTCTCCTACTATTTTGCGAAATACATTTTAATACGGTTTAAGAAATAACAGGAGGCCAAAATGTTCGGTGATATACTAATTTGTAATGTTTAAATGTATTCTCGTGACATGAAAGAGGTCATGTTGTCACCGCAGGGGTGAAAATGGTCTATTTCGCAAAATAGTAACTCTCCTAAAATTACTATTTTGCGAAATACATTTTAATACGGTTTAAGAAATAAGAGGAGGCCAAAATCTTCGGTGATATACTAATTTGTAATGTTTAAATGTATTTTTGTGACATGGAAGAGGTCACGTTGTCATCGCAGGGTGAAAAATTCCATTTCGCAAAATAGTAACTCTCCTAAAATTACTATTTTGCGAAATGAATAAAAATCCTTCTTGTTAATGAACGATTACTCCAAAATCCTTGTGAAAGTTTTCTTTACCTTGTTAGAAAATATATCTGCATTATTCCTTTAGTTTTGTTCTATCTCACCTGATTTCGTTTCGTTTCGTTTCGTTTCGTTTCGTTTCGCAAAATAGTATAAGCCCAATAGACGCTATTCTTATTCAATGACATGTAAATGAGTTGCGGGGTATTCTGAAGTTGCTCCGGACGTTGGCCAAGCGACTCATCGCGTTGGCCAAGAGACCAAAGACGTTGGCGAACGTGACGTTGGCGAAATCACTCGTTGGCGAAATCACCGCAATTCATCCTTGATGTTTTTGCCGACTTCTGGTTATTGGTCTGCTGCAATCGATTTTGAAACGTTAAAATACTGCAATGAGCAAATTTCGTCGCCTACATACCTTTCAGGACCTCTTAGATGTCAGAATTATGGAGTACTTGTGTTCTTATGATGTTAAACTCGGTAATCGTTGCGAGATTTTGTTAAATGTTTCCTTCAAGATAAAACATGAACCAGAAAGCTACGCGAAGATTCTTGATCATGACTTCTCAAACTCAGTAACAATGCATGAGGTATTTAACCAATTGTGTGGCCTCATTTGGGTCACATGGATGCCCCTTGATACCCGATAAAGAACAGATCCAAACACGCGTGATTAGATATCTAAACACACGAGTTAGGTCAAGGTAGTTTAGACACTTTAACACTCTGCTCTAGACTAGGTTTCTCATATGTTAACAAGGCATCTGACCCATGTCCGGTCCTTTCTCGGAGGAGTTTTTCTTCAACGCCTGAATCGAACAACTTTGTTGCACAGTCAATTCTCAAAGAATGAGCTGTTTTCGGTGAAATTCCAACCTTGCACATGTTTGGCAAGATTCCATTCAGCGTGTTAATTCCGAAGTTGTGAACACATCAGTTTTCTCGTGTTTGGAAACCCTAATGAAACACTCGCCCTCGTTTATGAAATATTACATCACCGCTCACGTGATGCTTTGAGTTACACGTGTAACACAATACGTGTCGTTTACGTCACGTTTGTTCAGATCAACCGGTTTCGTCAGTAGAATTGCAGAACAAAAAAGCACGATTATGACGTATTTGACAGTACTCTCGATTAATCTGCTTTCCTTAAACTTCCAAATTCATGGCCACTTTCGTTTAAGAATTTCATATTTCATTCATGACCTCTTTGAGAATGATTCATTTCCTTGTTTCTGGTTATAAGACAAACATACTTTGAAAGGTTCGACGACGAAGTTATGATATGTTATGACATGTAGCACAATCTTTTTACTTGACACGATGTCTTAATGTTCTTAAAAGATATTTCGAATTGCCTTGTATTGTTTGAAACATCCCTATAGCTTACATTCGTTGAACCTCTCTTTCCTTTGAAATTCCCAGAGGGCAACACCCTTCAGGATAGCTATACACTAACAGTACAAATGAAAAAAGTAAAACGTTGAATGGCAAATGAAAATGTCTTTTTAGTGGGCCCTTGATTACTGATGCGAAATTGGTCCAAATTCAGTTTATAAGATTTTTCGTAGTAACTTTGTTTGTTTAACTTTACCTTTACTTTACTTTGAATGATTCATGTAGAAACGTACTATGTATGCTTTCGTCCATTGGCTTACACTCAGATGAACTGACTCATTGTACCGCTTTTTTTTTCATCTCAATTATAGCGGAGCTCGCAGAGCGTAGTCCCATAATTATACGAAATAGTAGTAACCCACCAAGCCGAAAAAAATTTGGATGTACGACCGTACAAGGTGCTTCTTTTAAGATGCGTGGTCAACTGTACCGCGGGCACGCCAGCGCCACGGCTTTGTCCAGTAGTCCAGTGGTCAGTGCACTAGGCTCCGAGTCGGACGACCCGGGTTCTAGTCCTGGCCGAGGCAAGGTGTTGTGCCCTTGAGACGTGCGGGAAAAAAATGCGTGCTCCGCTTTTAGGCTTGGCTAAATCTATATATTATTTTTACTCTAGTATCGATTTTATTGCAGACTCAGTTCATTCTCTTCCATCTTGATTGTAAAAACTGTCGGGCATTTTACAAGCTTTTTACACGACCTATTACACTTTTTTCTCTGATGCAAATTGTAACAACCCCAGGGAGTAGACAAACACAGTGGATATACTGGTAGTCAGGATACATTGTGTGTAAATCTTTCTCGCAATCTTCAGCTAGTTACAAAGGGCAAATACGATATGAGACGACTGTGAAACAGGCTGAACAGTATTATAAACAGTTTGATTTATTTCGTTCTTATTTATTCAAAAAGTTTTTTCGGTCAGCGGTCTTTATTACTCTACTACGTCACTAACACGCGTGGAAAATCACTAGGAAAATTATGTGCTTTCAATAAACGCATATGTACTTTAAACAGTTTTGAAATGTAATTGAGTTTCTCGTATGATTGTATTGCTTCATCACAAGGACTGCTAGGTAGTAAATGCAGCGTGATGTCGGCCAAATTACTTAAATTGCTAGAAATATTTTTAACCTATTTCTATAAAAAAAACTAAGTCCTTTAAAAAATTAAAATGGAAAACGTCACTTCTAGCATTCTTTGCCACAAAACGGTAATAGTCCTGAGCGAGCTATTAAAACAATTTTCTTACAACTTTGTGGATTACTGCATGTGACAAGACTTTCCATATCTCCCAGCTACTTGGTTACAATTTACTAAATAGTAGAGTTCAATCAAAGTCATGACCAGTTAAAGGTTTCTCAGTGCTATCTGAACATTGTAATCTAAATATTCCTTAACTGAAACATCATCGAAGTCTTGAACAGTAGAAGGTTTCTCAGTATTAGTTGAGTTTATAAATCTAAACATTTGCCGACTAAAACATCAGTATAAAAAAATTATTTAAGGCCATCGCCAAGGTACCCCATCCATAAACATAAAAAACTATGAACCTCATAATCACTATTTTGTTGCTTACTACAACATTGTAGCATCTCTCATAAATCCAGATTGACGTCATCGTCAATCAGTCAAGTTTCAAACATAGAGCTGATAAGATCCATGTACGCGATCATTAGGATAGAAAAACTTGTGTACCCGATCAACGATTGCTTTGTGGCGCAGCTCAAAGGTATTACATCTTTCATAAGTCCAGAGTGACATCATCTCCGATCAAAACAAATGGTGCCCACTCATCGACTCTGTACCTCTTGGAGTCTCTCATCCACTTCATGGTCTGGTGAAGAGCACCACAGGCACTCAGTTTATCACACTTCAGATGTCCGTAGAAACGAATCATGAACTCTTTTGTGGCTCGGTCATCCACAGCCCAGAGGGTAACTAGCACTGACTTATCTGAAGCGAACATAGACCGTCATAGCTAGCAAAAGTAATGTTATCCAGGGAAAGTTTATGTTCGTCCTGAAATAGTTTGCGATTCTTTTCAGCACAGGTAATGCTTTCAGAAAAGCAATCATACGCCTTCTTTAACTCACCATCCTCCAGGTAACAGGTCCCTAAGCAGTGGAGAGCCTCCTGTTCTTTTCCCTTGTCTCCAATTTTTCTTGTTTTCTTGAGGGCTTTCTCTTGAAGTTCCTTTGCTTCCTTCAGCTTTCCAAGAGCTTGGTATGTAGATCCAGCATTAATCAAGGCTCCTGCTAATTCACTTTCAGCTCCGATTTCTTGCATGATAGAAATTCCTATGTTAAAGTTGTCTAAAGATTCTTTGAATCGACCGCAAGACATGTAGTAGAAACCAAGGCCTGAGTAGGTCATGGCCTCTTGGATTTTATCCTCAGTCTCCTTCGTGATTTCAAGGGCTTTTTGTAAATATACTTCCCCTTCATCACAGTTTGCTAGACAAACACCAAAACCACGGAGGGCATTTGCTTCTATTTTCCTGTCCCCAGTGGTCTGACTACATTCAATAGCTTTCTGAAAACTATTCATCGCTTCCTTTTTGTTGCCGATTGCGATGTATAGGTTCCCGAGTAAAATGATGGAACGACCTATTTTGAACTTGGATTCAGTTTTTTCGAGGATTTTTACTGCTTGAAACTGGTGGTCGATGGCTTCTGCATACAGACCGAGCGAGGAATAACAAACACCAAGGCTGTGATGAATTATTCCTAATAATGTACTGTTTCTACATTTTTCCAAAATTTCAAGTGACCTTTTGAAATAGTCCAGTGCTTCATGGTTCTTGGAGATTGCATTATAAGTAGAGCCGATGTTACTGTAGGAAACACCTATATCCTCATCGTCACCGTATTCTTCTATCAGTTTTAGTGACTTGAAATGACATTCTAGTGCCTTGTCATACTCCCCCTTAGAGTGATAGGTCATTCCGAGACTTTGGTATAATTTGCCTTCTTCTTTGAATTTGCCAGATTTATTATATATTTCTAGGGACTCTTCTAGACATCTGATTGCCTCTGGATAATGAGCAAGGTCTCTGTGTGCGTCGCCAAGCTCATGAAGTATTTGTCCTTCAAGTTTTTTGTCACCGATCTCTCTGCAAATTTCCAGTGCGTTATTTCGCCACACGATGGAAATATCCGGCTTCCACAGTTGGCCATAACAACGACCCATTACTTCATAGGCTTGTAGCTCCGACTTTTTATCCCCATTTTCTTTTGCAATTTCAAGTAGTCTTCTCGAAGCGAAAATCGCCAAAGCGGGTCGACGCATGAGAACATGGGTAAAAATGATTCCTTTGCATGCGGTTACTTCCGAGTCGCTATTCCGGCCATATTCTTCGTTGATTTGCAGAGGTCGCTGGTTGCTTTCCAATGCTTGACTATTACGGCCATATTCTTCGTTGACTTCCAGAAATAGTAGCTCGCTATGCATTCCTCCTTGGAGAAAATATTCGGATATACATATTTCGGAAATATCATTTTCAGGGTCGCTACAATTTTCAACTTTACTTTCTCTCAACAGGACTTGGGCCTCTTCATGCATATCCATATCATTTCTGATTAGATTATTGCTGAACAAACAGTCTGCTAACGTGCAAGTTACGCGGAATTTCTCCATTTAGGATTGCTTCGTATCTCTGGAAAAGGTCAATGAATTAGCAAATTAGCTACTCACCACATTATGGATGGAACATAAAGAAGAGAGTATAACTATGTGTGCAATGTTCACAACGCTGAGAAGCTTATTGTCTGAACACTTAAAACGACTCGTGTGGGAGCTTGATGCCAATAGCAAAGAGAAAGTTTTTTTAACACTCAAACTATGGCAAAACATCAATCGAATTTCATTCCTTAGTGGGAGATCTTAAAAGTTGAAAATGTAGTCCGGTCAAAAGTTGTCTGTGGGTGAGTGACCCAAAAATGGGCTATTTAGTAGAACCTGTGTTAAGCAGCACCGTATTGACCGGTCACCCTGTATTGAGCAGTGGGTTGTCAAAGTCCCAAATTTGTTTCCCTTAATTTTCACCTCAATTAAGCGGTCTCCTATGTTTTATCTCTATTTAACGATCAATTAAAGCGGAATCACTCAAATAAAACTAAGAATAATTTCGCAAGCGAAATCTTATCTATGTTTATCTCTCGCAATCAATGTTAGCAAGAAATTGTAAACTATATTCTCTTGATGTTAGTGGTATTTGTGAGCGAATGTTTGTACATTAAGCGGTCAATTATGGCATAAAATTGCGTTTTTAGTTTTTTCTTTATTACCCCTCTTCTTTGGAACCTGTGTTGCGTCAGCCTTCGAGTGAAAATTTTAAACAAATACCAACCTTGAAATTGAAAATCAGGTGCATGGAGTGTGCATGGCACACTGAAACCACGTTCCCAGGGACTCCACTTCCTCTTGCGAATAGGGGAGAACCTGGTGAAGAGTTATTGTTTGTTATTGAATATCGGTCGTTTTCCGGTACAACTCCTTCTGTCTCCGGCGCGAGTGTACGATCAAAGTCAACCATAGTTTCAAAGAGTTCGCAACCCTTCGTGAAATGAAACAGCTCGTGATTGTTTCCCCATAGAAATACACAATATGCTAATAACCAGCTGCAGGTGAATACATTCAAACAAACCTGCAACACTCCTCTCAGTACATAATCTTGTAGTTAATGATGGAAAGAAAAGTCCACTTAAAGAAAAATGATCTAAAAACTTGTCCGTAAATGCACAGTACTTTTTTCTGGCAGCATAGTGTCAACTGGCCTTAGCATACGTAATTAAAAACGCACTTCCGCCCACCTCCGCCTTTCGCTTCAACAGCGAATGACATAACTTTCTATCGAGCTCGTAATTTTATTTCACAGATAGTGACAAGAGCCCATTACTTATTATATTAGGTAATGGGCTCCTGATAGTTAATAGTTATGTATACCAACCCCTGTCAACTCTCATTTAGTTGCATTCTTACAGTTTCATTTTAGTAAACGCGATGCTTTGCTATTTGAATTGAGTGATGTTAATATATTCTTGCCACCTGCCCTTTTGGCGATTCAGCCCGCTTACCTCTTGCATCGCTGTTACAGAAAATCGTACCGAAAAGATGGGAGAAGAATTGGTGCCGAAGGAATGTGCAAATGCGTAATAAAAAACATAAAGAGAAAAAGAAGGAAATGTTAACTATGGACAAGAAAAGACATTCGAGGAAGTGAAAATAATACTTTAATTTGGTACAGAAGTACTGTAAAATTTAAATCTATGTATCAAGCAATGTCAATTTCTTGAAACAGGATTGTTTATTTGATCGGCTTCATTTTACGTAGTTACAATTAGTATCCGAACGTTGCAGAGTAAAATCAACAAGGATACTGCACAGGCCGAAATCGTGTTCTCCTATCAAACTAATATTTAATTTGACAGGAGAACAATATATAACTATGAGGGGCAGAGAATAAAAGTGCGAACTACAAATGAATCAGCCTGGGTTTGCACCCAGTGTTAGAAGACAAAATCACAGATAAAATTAAATGCGAACAAACTCAAAACCCACTTTTCCACGGCGTGACATGCACATTTATTTCAGAACAAGTGTTTACATCTATATATACAAACAGAAGTTATTAGTAACTTAATCGATTTTACCACTCACAAGTGTACATGTAAAATGCAATAGCAAGTAAACTGGTCATTATTCACACAAGACAATTCAAATATCTATTTTGTCTGTCTCATTAAAAATAAAAACTAGATATGGAACCCTAAAAGACAAAACCTCAGAGAGCATTGTTTTGCACTCTAACAAAAGACGAAAAAAAGGTGTCCTTCTTATGCTGAACCATAAAATGAGAAAAAGATATGGAAACTGCCACAAAATTCAAGTGACAGTGGTCTCTCCATGAACTTTACCAAATTCAGTCACAGTGACCAAGACTTTGGTGGAACAAGTTTTAGTTTCATTTACTCCTACACACTACCCTTGCGAGCTGAATTCCCAGTTTTCTGGGAATTCCTAGGAATTCTCAAAAAATTCCCAACTATGCAAATAAGCTCTGATTTGAAAAGCTTGGAATTACTGGGAATTGCTGGGAAAGGAAGACTCCAGTTTTGTGAGGACTTGAAATTCCTAGGAATTCTCAGCTGTACAAACTACCTCTAATTTAAGAAGGGTGGAATTCTTGGGAATTACTGGGAACCGAATTTGAGGCAATTTAAATACCTTGAAGTCCAATTAAATTCCAAGAAATTCTCAATACCTTGAATGTGAAGGTTTTAAGACAAGGAGTAATTTTAGAGGCCTAAAACTTTGGCTCAATAAAAGGTATGCTACACAAAATTTACCAAAATACATACATGTATATGTTTATAACTTAAAGATCGTAAAATTTATTATTCAAACTAACTTTTAGTAAATTTTTACATTAATATGGATTTTCTCATGAAGCAGCAGTCAATTATGTTAGATGCAAATTGCCAATTAATCTAATGTACTCATATCACAGATTTGCTTTCAAACCTCAAAGGCCTCTTGGATTCCATGGTCATAAAAGTTTTTATTGTGATGCAAAATGTCATATGTTCACAGATGTGCCAAAATCATCAAACATTCATCAGCTTTTCCTTAGTACACAACTTCCACAATAGTTACATTGTTATCTACACTTAAAGAACTTTGTTAGATATAAATATAAGTTACTTCCCTAATCTATATTACTGGCTGCCTTTGTTAGGAGACCTTGGAACAGTCAAGCTCAGTTGCCTCAAACAGTGTCAGAGACTTTTTGTTCAGATCACTTTTAGTAGGAATTTCGTGCCTTAGACAAACAAATTCAACACCAAATTAATTCTTTCTTTTTTGAATGTTGTTACTTTTTTCTTTTTCCGTTTTTTGCTCTGTTTTCGTGACTGATTGTTACTATTTTTTTTTTGCTGTTTTTATTCTTACATAACATTTTTGTAAGTTTTCCAATATATATGGATCATCTGCCCACTCCACAAACATTTGGCATGTGGACAAGACAGAGGTGGTCACTGTTCCCTTCAAGAAAAAACACCTCTTAAATGACTCCTTCAATTTGCTTTATTTGAACCTTGATCTGAAAATATTTTTAAAACAAGACTTGTACATAGTGAGAAGTACAAACCGAGTTTTCTTTCCTAACTTAATTTCTAAAATGTCCTCCTGAAAAATATTACTTCTTTTTATTTTTGGTGCAAAATACAAATCCTTCTTTATAAACAAATAAGAAGTCACACCTCAATAACAACAGCTCTAAAGTTTACTTGTTGTTCTTCCCTAAGTCTGCTATCAACAAAATTGTTTCATACTTTGGGTCTGTTATAAAATTTTACTTTTAGTATAAAATGACAACCTTGTATCTTAGCTCTCTACACCCCTTTCCAAGCTCGGGAACGCTTCGGACAGTGCATAACCATTTGTGGACCAGAATTCCAGGTAAAATTTCCGCACAGCCCCATACTACATTATGCATTCAGTTCTTGGATTGAGAAAACAATGACAAAAACAATAGATTGCCATTGGGCAAAACAGATTTGTTTTACAATAGTATGGGGCTGTGCGGAAATTTTACCGTTTCGAGTCTTTGTTTCCTCGACAACTTTCGGCCACAAATCGTGCATTTCTAGTACGATCGATTCTTGTCCATTATTTCGACATAGACTGAGCTCACATCATTATTTATATCATCGTCAGAACATGGATGTAAGGTATCCATCGTCCAAGAGAAGAGAACCAGTGAGGGAAGTTAGAAAAGGATTGTACGCTTCTCTTGAGACTGCAATAAGGCAAGCCAGCGGATTCTCTTTGCTAGCCAATGACAATTCTCAAAAGATCCACGTGATCATGCCCGTGATCGGAAACAGAGAAGACTCCATTTGGCGCTCATCTTTGAAAGTACTTTTCAACGATTGATCGCATGTGTGTCAAGTTATTTCTTTTCTCAACTGTTTTGCTTAATGTAACATTTCTAAAGAATCTTCTTATTGTGGTTCAATGGGAAAACGAGAACGGCGTGAGTGTTGTAAATGAAAAGAGAGTCGTTGGCGCCGTGGAGTTAAAAGAAGGAACAACAGATGACATATCGACTGGTACAAACAAGGGTCGAGTGGCCATTTACAATGCTACGATTTTGAAAGTTTGTGGTGAGTAAAAATTGCGATATTCGTTACGTGATCAAAATCTTACCAAAGAATAGATATAACGGTTGGAATTAAGCTCATATATAACGCTCGGCGCAACCGAAACTCGAATAATTCTGAGAATCGAATTGGTCACCTGCATGCCGCAGTTTCTTAAGCTTACACTTTACAATGAAATAAATCTATCAGTAAGGTTTTTAAGATTACTTTAGTCACCTGGGAACATTTTAGATTCATAATACAAGCTGTGATTAAACAAAACTGATTAGATAAAGAAGCCCTCCTTGATAAAAAAAATAATTTATTCAGCCCTTTTTTAGTAAAATGTGGTCTTCCACGGGAAAATGTACATTAGCGGCTTTCCGTTTTCAAACGGCTTTCTGTTCACGAGCCGTTTGTCAGCAGTTCAGGAAAATTTGCATCCGTTTGAACGGCTTCGGTCATCCGTTCGATAGAAACATCAGCCCGTTC